TTAGACAGCATTATAGATTATATGTGAATTCATGGATCTATCCCTAGCTTGGTAGAAATATCCTTCATTTTCTTTATTGAAATATCGGTGGATTTAAAAGTAATAATATCCAATCCATTCAGGGCCGCTCTAGAATTTTCTAGAATGTTCGATAGTTTAAAAAAAGAGATGTCTGTGGCATTTTTAAACCGATTTTAATGGAACAAATTTTAAATTTTGACAATATAATTTATCTGAATGATTTTTATAGGGACCCAGACCTGAGTCATAACTAAAATGATACTTTATTAAATGGTCTCTCAACGAAGCCCCTATTTCAATTTAAATGTACTATATTAATAGTAGTACAATTTTGTTGTATAATATTTCGCATTCGAGAAATAGTTAAGTAGAAAAGTAATTTTTTACCCGTTTTTAAAGGAGGATATTGAAGTTTCTATATTATACAATCTGCTGATAGGTAATGGGATCCAAAAGCTTATTTAAACAAGATCGCACTGAGCATGATCCATAGACGAACAGGATCCTAATTATTATTATAAACGACATCCAACAGTAAACTGGAACGCTTTGGTTACGCTATGCCATCGGGGAACGGGATGCTATAACGAAACGGGACTGCACAGGGATTGGGATCTTAATGCAAACCTGGGCCACGCAAGGTATATTGGCTAGCATATAAATAAATAAAGTATTGGAATTCCAGATTCTGGAAATGCACGGGGCAACTATCCCCTTATATTTTATATAGTTTATAATAACTTTTTTTTTTCAAATCATCGATGCACATTGTAATTTTAGCTGCAATTTTGTAATTGTAAATAATCAGTGTTTTAGTGGACTATGGTAAATTTTTTGTTAATCTCATAAAAATAAAACTGAAAGCTGTTGGAATGATATCTTCAATGTTTAAACACGTTGATAATTAAACCTACCAAAAACTTTCGGGTGGTCCCTATGTCATAGGATTTGATATTCAAAGCTATAATTTATTTTAACACTTGTTTTGTTATCCTTTCATTTAGTTATTTTAGTTCACGTCAATATAACCTTTATGGGAAAAGACTAAATAAAAAAAAACATAAATTTAAAAAAAAAAATTAAAAAAAAAAAATACCTTTTACCTTTTCAAGACTTTTGAAAACATTAAACTAAAACCCTGCCTACTGCGATATCAAAGATATAAATATAGTTCATCTTATCTCCACCAGTTTCAACTGTACAAATATCTTCATAATGCGAAGATTTAGAAGTAACGACTTCAGTTATCCAAAGAAACAGTGCAGATATCAAAGCTTTCCATCATTCAGTGCTGCTGCTTCTGATCTTGGATATGGCATCGTTTCTGTAGATGATCAACTTGTGATGTGAACTTTGTAAATGATCACTCTGGAACATGGGATCTATAGATGATGAACTTCTGACATCACTTCTTTAGTTGATTGATTCATGGCATTATTTATGTAAATGGCATGTCGTCGGTTAATTAATGACTTGTAAAAAGTTTCCTAATAAATTGGCTTCAGTTTAAATGTCCATTAATAAATGAACGCCAGTTGGAATGCAAAGTAATTGGTTAAATATTGAAACGATTTTCAGAAAGATTTAGTTTCAGTTAAAATATTTTTTAACAAAAAACAAAAAACAAAAAAACAAAAAAAATATTTTCAAAACGTTAAATAATTATTATTTATTTCTGAAATGTTTAAGAATAATGTAATTTTTTTTTTTTTTAAGTCTTGACAGGTTTAAAGTTCTAGTAATTTTCTAGCATGTTTTCTTCTTTGATTTCTTTAATTCAATGTCTTTATGATAATTAGTATTGAATCACAACACGATTGCTCTTGAACATTACGAGTAACTTTGAATTTACAATATTGATTATATTCATACTTGTAGATTATACGAGTGAATGTATTGTTCCATTAATTAAGACATTTTTCGTTTGCTATTAAAGCACATAGCTTTGTTTTATATTCACTTTGAACAAATTGTCTTAATTTATATATTTTTTAAAAATTATTTGTTCGTGGTAGAAAAATAAATTATTAGTAGATTGAGCACGTTCCCTGTTAACTTGCTAATATCACATCAATTACACCAGTTGGATGCCGAGGTATTAACTAACTTGTCGAACAACAAACTTCCTCTCCTATTGGCCTACGAGCGTTTGAAGGCATGGACAAGTTCATAGCCACTTGCAAGGGGGGGGGGGGGGGGTGTGGGCAGGAAACGTAACCAAAAGTTACTAAACTTTCATTTAGATATGACAAATGTTCTAAATTAACCTAGCTAAAATAAATTTAAAAGTCAATTAGGACTTGACAAACTGTGAGCTACTAGTTAGTAAAATATGTTATTGGGAAATAATACAGTTTAGCATTCTCGGTTACATTAGAATTTTAATAATGCATACTTTACAAAGAAATAAAATTCAAGTTGGCGAAAATGTAAAAGTAACATGCAAAATACATGGAATGTACATAAATACATGTTGCAATTACACATTGTAGGATGTTGGCGTTTAAAAATTGGAAAACAATTTTAAAATATGTTTGAAACTTAGAGTAAAATATGCTACATGTACAAAATTCCATAATCAAAATTAATGGGACAATAGAAAGTAAAAGGGGACAATGGAAAGTGTAATGGGACAATGGAAAAAGAATTAGGACAAAAGAAAGTGTAATGGGACAATAGAAAGCGGATTGGAATAAAGGAAAGTGAAATGGGACAATAAAAAGTGGAATGGGACACTAGAAGGTAAAATAGAACAATAGAAAGTCGAATTTGAAATTGTAAAGCGGAATGGGCAAGTGAAATTGGAATGGGACAATAGAAAGTGAAAAGGGACAAGTGTAATGGGAATGTGGAAAGTGAAATGGGGCATTCGAAAGTGGAATTTAACAATAGGAAGAGAAATGAGACAAGATACGGTAAAATGGTACAATGTTTGCCATTTTCTCCGGAAACTCATTCGAATGTGCCATTTACTTTTATAATTATGTAATTTCTCTCATTACTTAGCATACATAAAATGTGTAGGCAATGTATAATTGTTTATAAAATTTAAATTTTAGGTTGTGTCCCCTTCCTGAAATGTTAGGTTCTTTGTAAGAGTTTCCTTAACCTGGCAGGTGCAGGCCTCTTTAAATGTAAGATCAGAAGTATTCTATTGGCTTAAAGCAAAACTATCTCCAACATACTAAATGTGAGAAATTTATTCTTGCTTGATTTATACTTTGAGCTAAACATTAATAATTATATTTGTTGCATTACACTTGATCACATACAAAAAAACAACTTTCGCATATGGTCGAAAAGAAATAAAAATCTCAAGATCACATTGTTTATGTAGCATAATTATTTTATGTAGTCCGACATTTGAATCCACAAAGAAAACTATGGCAGACCTAGCGAGTCAGTGAACAAGATAAACCAAAGATGCTTTTCTAAACTGAAACGATGCATGTGCATTAAGATGAATAGTTGTGATGGAGACACACATTGAGCAATGTTTATTTAGGAAGAAATGTGTAACTAAGACTTTCTTTACTAATTGTATTATGTGTAATATAAAAGGAAATTAAAATAAATTATAAATCAAATAGAGCAATATTTCTCTTTTTTCTACATAACAATGGTGTGATTTTGTATATGATGTATGAATAATAAACAATTAAAATAACTAAGGACCTAAATACGCACTTAGGAAATACTATTGGTAGGAAATGTATTGGGGGGGGGGGGCGGAAATTCGTGGACAATTACTTAAAACGTGGTCCTTTCTGGAATTCTTGTCGCTCGTCGTATGTGTGCAGACATTTTCATCTTGTAGTTGTACTCTAAAATATATCGAAGAAGTAGTTAAGTCTAACACAATTAAATAGAATGTATGTTTTGAATGGCCTGTCGCCTTTTGAAAAGTAGTAATGTAATTTTTAAACAAAAATATGGCGTTTGATTTTTCAAACAATAAAATGCCTAATTGGAAAATAACCCTAATAAATGTCTTGCTTAATTGGATTAAGACTTTTATAACAAAGAGTCGTTAGCTACGTCTAAGCTGGAGACACAATGCCTAACTTATGTTCGTCAAAATCAGTTTTTTTTAATTTTTATAAGTCATTGTAAGGTTATTTTGATTTTTATAAGTCAATTTCAATCATTTGTATTTCTTATAAGTCAATTTAAGGTTATTTTGATTTTTTCTTCAGTCAATGTCTGACTATGTTGAATTACTAAAAATAATATCAGGATGGTGACTCGGTGGTTGAATGCTGTAAAATCAAAAGTCAATCTCAAACCTGTGGTCCTGTAAACATGGATGGCAACTCATCTAAGAGATGGAAACTCTGAATAAAAGCCCGGAGGTGTCGCGACGAAACTGGTGCCAATATATATCATCCATATAAGGTATTCCCTTTGGGCTATCCAGTTGCTTGAAGAAAGGTGATTTGCTGTCTAGGGAACTAGCATACGGTCCTTAAGAAAATATCCCAGTTCTTGTGGTTTCGTCGTGCAAAGTCTCACCATCGTCACCATTGTAATTGACGAGTATCAGAAAAACAATATCAGGATATTTTGACAACATAATTTATTGTCTTGAAGGTAATTCAGGTAAAATTAATGTTTTTTGTGCCAGTTTTGTCATAAGCGTTTTTATAGACAGCTTTGCAGGACCTCTATATATATATTTGGCATCGGAATCATTGCACATATTTTCCCTTTTTATCCATTGACATCGACTTGGGCAACACTTTCAATTGTACGAGCTCTTAAGACAGACTCCCGGGTGGAGCACACACTTCCAGTCACAAGCTTGCGAGACAGTCTCACTGTTGAAGCACAGTCTTCATTGAGCACTCATTCCACTCATGCCTTTCAGGATACGTAATGATGGGGTTTCCCAATGAAAACTTCGTTTACACGTTCATCCGTTGTAATCACACTGAATTGAACGCGTGTATCTTTTTTTCAATATTAAATGAAAACTTTAATCCATATTCAGGGTGTACAATGAATCAAACACATGTATAATGCAGCTAGCTCTACTTATAAGAATATAGTACAACCGTCTCGCGCTATGCTCGGACTTCAACTGTCAAACCAATGGCACGTGCACGAAAAACAGACTAGAAATACAACGTTACAGCTACATTAAATGCACGACACAATATGTCACTTCCTAATGGCGCTAAGAAGTGTCAAATTAACTAGATTAACGCACGCCAAATTTTGTTAATTAACATTTGTTGCCACAGAAAATGAAAAACTATTGATAAAGATTATATGAAATGTACACGCAGTGATGATTTCATTTATTTTGGATATATGGGTGAATTTTTAATATATATTTTAATAAACGTCCTTACTTACTACTTACATATTGAACATGAATGTAACTAGCAATCAATTAAAGTTAATTAATTTAATATTTCAAATAATTTAACATATTTGCAAAATTATTACACATATTTGACCCGATTGTGATACAATTCTTGTAGTTCGAAATCAATATTATGGGAAATTTTCAGGCAGGAGCATTACCCCCTGTCACTGCATTAGCAGTCCAAAATCCTACATATTACCCCCTGTCACTGCATTAGCAGTCCAAAATCCTACATATTACCCCCTGTCACTGCATTAGCAGTCCAAAATCCTACATATTACCCCCTGTCACTGCATTAGCAGTCCAAAATCCTACATATTACCCCGTGTCACTGCATTAGCAGTCTAAAATCCTACATATTACCCCCTGTCACTGCATTAGCAGTCCAAAATCCTACATATTACCCCCTGTCACTGCATTAGCAGTCCAAAATCCTACATGGTTATCTAAATAAAATTGAAAATAGAGTTTGTACGGGATCTGACATATTTCAAATAAATAGTTTACAGTAAATTTGACCAACAAAGTAAAACTAAAACCGTACACCATCATTATACTGACAGATATATCCGTTTGCTGAACTATCAACATGATAGGAAAAATAGCACATGGGTTTGAAGGTTTTTTTTAAAATATAAAATGTCTTAGAAATATTGAGGATCAGCTACCATACGTAATCATAAGAAAGTTCCGAGAAAATTAATTTAGAACAAAGGTAATTTGATATTTTATGTTTCCAGGGTAAAATCCACGTCTGTAACTTTCATAAATTTTAAGTAAACAAGGTAAAAACATAAGATATGTTATTTTTTAACCCTTTTAAATCCTATAAAAAAAATTTTCTAAAGAAGGCTTCTTGATACGTTTGCTTTTTAAAGACTTATTTCAGGTTTGCCCGTAAGTTATGTCTTATTTTCCAACTTCTGTCAGAATATTCTACAGCTTAAAGTGCCTCCCACGAATGCTTTCAATGTGAACGTGTTCGAGAGATGGACTGGGGAGACTGACTTTCAAAGGAAATACTTGGATTTTTTTTTCTAATAAGGTGTCAAAGTAATAATTATTGATATCACATTCATTTAATTGCAATCTTAACAAATATCAAGTATAAATATAGCTCAAATTTTTATATTATTTATTTAGCTCAAATTTTTATATTATTAAGAAATTATTGCAATCATTTATGCATATATATATTTTCCCAGTTTAGATTTGAAAATGAAAGCAGTAAAACATGAATCAATGAAATAAAAAAAAAATAGTTGTTATGATTGATTACAGCTTTATATTTACTGTGTGTATTAAATTAAAATAAAAATATATGTAAACTGATCGTAGATGAATAGTTTATATAATATGTAAAAATCTGATATAAGAGAAATAATTTTCATAGATGAGATGCCATACTATATAAAAGTAATGTAAACAATTAACGTGTTGCAGTTGAATTCTGGGATACAATTAAAACCATCAGTCTAAAAAGTTTAAAAAAAAAAAAAAAAAATTAAAACCAACATAATAATATATTTCAAGACTTTAAATTTACATAGATGAGATGCCATACTAAATAAAAGTAATGTAAACAATTAACGTGTTGCAGTTGAATTCTGGGATAAAATAAAAACCATCAGTCTAAAAAGTTAAAAAAAAAAAAAAAAAAATTAAAACCAACATAATAATATATTTCAAGACTTTGAGTTAGAAGAACACATTTATAAAGCGTATGTTGTTAGTAGGCACACGCATAAAATGAAAAACAACAATCAACCAGATCAGTCTGATTATTTTAGAAGTTCTCACAATCCACTTTAAAAACAATTTTTAATCAAAAGTAGTCTTTTTTCAAAACAGCTATATATATCTTAAAGTCAAAGAGTAGCCCATCATAATAACATTAGTTTAATCTTGTGAATTATTTTTTGATCATTGGAAGATGCGAGACTATCTTGTATGAGTCACACCTTTGAATTGGCATATTCTGTGCCTTCATTCCCAGAATATACTATATTTTCTTTGGCATCATCATTTGGTACAACTGACAATTTGGTTTCACTGAAGTTGTAGTAGACGCTGTTGGTTTCGTTATACCTTTGTAGAACCTGATAAAGAATCTTGTATTGTTCCTAAAAGATCAAGAAAAGTAAAATGTAGTGGTATTCGACTAAATAGTTTTAAAGTAAGAGCTAACTGTTTATATAGACAAATTTAATATGCTATTCATACGATCATGCACAATTCTCACCCTTTTATCTGTCTATTTGTAAAATGATGAAAATATTATTTAATACACGTTACATTATCAAACGCTGTCAAAAAATAAAACTAAGGTCTCCAAATTTTGAAGTGAAAGCTTTAATTGTTTTGAGGAAGATCAGGTGGTTAACATTGCATGTAAAAACAAATATTTCAAATGTTTATAAACGATAACAGTAAGTGGGTATTGTAAAAAAAAAAAAAGAAAGAAATTGAAGGAAAAAAATATTGTTAACATTACAGCTGTGTATCAATAAAACTGCAGAACAAATACAAAATAACTAACAAAGTTTTTATATAAATAATAAAAGCTACGGGCATACCTTGGGTCATTGTACTAGGAACCAAGATTTGTAACCTCCCCCCCCCACTCCCCGCTAAAAAAAAAAACAATCATAAAACCCATACATAAGTGTATTTATACCCATAAGAACCTGTTGTTTTATTTATGGCCGTGAACATGTTTCAATTCAAGTCTCTCATCCTATTTCCCCATATTAATGTGTTCAAGTAAAGATCCACACAGGGGTGAATGAAAAAAAATGAAAATAATGCATTTCTAATCCGGTAAATCAGTGGTCGGTAAAACATGCGGCTCTTTAGCGACCAGAGTGCGGCACTTACGTTCTGCGTATTCATGCCAACAATCATTTTCAAGCATGGACCTCATCAAGAGTAAATTAAGAAATCGTGTTACTGATGAGACTCTGTAATTCGGCTGGAATTTAAAAACAACCAACATACAAACCAGACATATCAAAACCTTCCAAGCAAATGCAAGCTTACAATTCACATTAAATTCATTTTTTTTTTCAATAAGATTATTGTTATAATATCTTGTTGATTTTAGGCTTTAATGTGTGTTTTGTAATTTTGTGTCAATAAATAAATACATTTTTTATTACATTATTATTGTTGGTTGTGTTAAGTTTTTAGCAGCTACTTTAAACAAACTGCGAAAAATGATGGTTCTTGAAATAAATTTGGCTCTCAAAAATTTGTCAATCGTCCTGCTGCTGATTTTTGGCTTTTTTGACTCATGAGTTTGCCGACCACAGCGTTAAGTAGCCTAGAGTCAGTTGAAGCGCTGAATGAACACCGAAAATATGTATCTTGAAACGGAGTCGAAAAGCTACAAAGTTAAATGTCATCGTATGGGAAACATGTCAGCCATTAAAATAATTTCTACTTTTAACAATTTAATTTCAGCAATTGCAATGTTAATGAATTTGTTCTCCAATAAACCAAAACATTACAAAAATATTTATTGTGAATGCAAATTGTTTTTGTTTTTATTTTTGGCTTAAAAAACAACTTAGGTTCTCAATCCGTGGTTGGAGACCCCTTTAGGGGGTTTGAACGTTTCTTACACAGGGGTCGCCGAAGGCCATCGGAATACAGATATTTATGAAGTATCTTCGAGAATGCATTTATCGTTGGGGATTGACATAACTTGAGGGACTGTATTGAAGCGTCGCGCCATTGCGAAGGTTGAAAAACACTGCATGTAGAGGTAGTATGACTCTCTGTATTTTAATTGTCTTCGTTCATTTTTGTCATCTCACTACATTTTAAGTTCTTTAGATCACGAGGCTCAAAGTATCGCAGCCGGAGATGGGTACAAAAACGAACCATCACTTTCTATGGTTGTTGTCAATGCATAGGTAGTTAAGTGTCCTTTTGCAGCCCGTACCCAGTCTTTATCCAGATCCGCAGGGACCTTAATAAATCCATTTCTCCGTATGGTAAAAATTAGAGAGCTAACGCATGCTATATTTCAAAGCCATGGTTGCATTGGCGGATTTAGAATTGACCAAACGAAAGCGAGCCTTTGAGCGGAAACAGCAATAAAAAAAATTGAAACTAAAACCACGGAAATCGAAAATGTTTCTCATTTTATTTTCTTCCTTATTCCTTCGTCTGCCAGTGAAAGCTAACAGCAGACATTTTCAGGATATTTTCAGGTTGTTGTCTTTTATGTCAAGTTTTCACATAGCTAGTTCTGCGGTTTTCATGCTATCGGCTACAACGTAGTCCCTTGCGTCATCGATAAATCTACAAGTCAAACTTCACATGTTTAAAAAAATATCTTTATACATTTTTAAGGATCGTTCTTTCACCAATGACAATTAATGTCCTTATATATATTATTCCAGCTGTCACATAGACCTACAAGGGTCTTCTTTTTGTTATTTTGTTCACGATCAAAATGTTTCAAACACACAAACTTTTTTTCTAAACATAATTTTTCAGGCCATTCGCTGACTGACCAAAAATCTATTTAAAATCTATTCATCGATCAAACTGCCTTTTTATAATTCATAAGATCAATTAATATACCAAATTGCAATAATACAGTATCGTCTTTTCTTGATATATTAAAATAAAACATTTTTAGAAAAGTAAAATATTTAACAGACAAAAATCGTCCATAACAAGTGGGCATGGATTATATGTTGTTTTTATTTTTTTAATCCGTGAAAATTTCTAAAATGTCAACATCGTAGTTCTTAAGAATTTTAATATATTATTTATTTTTTTTTTAAAAGCAAGAAATGTTCATGTTTAGATCTAATTTATTTTTATGTAATACACATTTCGGCTACGCTTAGTTATTGAGTAAAACAGTATTATTACCGAAGTTGGGATGACCTGAGTGCGGATAGTCTTGATGGCACCAACGACGAGTGGAACAGTCAGGCGCTGGTCATTGTCCATTCTGTCCAGTAGGAGAGTCAAGACACAGGCCAGACCACTGAATGTAGCACCGTTTCTGCAAGACAAAAAGATGGGCTGACAATACTACCACTATGTCCTGTGAATGAAAATATTCAATGCATATCTATAAATAACCTACCTACCCACATGTTAGTGGTTCCTTATATTTATAAAAGTTAATGTGATTTAAACCAACCTGCACATGTACAAAGTCCTGGCATCCTGCTTTGGATCGTATGTCCTTGTTTGTTTGATAAATGGCAACAATTGCTTTGGATCTGTAGAAGTTTGTGTGTATCTGAAGTGAATGAGGCTGTGCTCCTCCGTGTCCTATATAATGATAGCAAACAATAAACAGAAAAATTATGATATAAATGATGTCATTTTACAGACATTGTAAATTGTAAATTATGATTGCAATCCTATTAAACTCATATCAAGGGGCACATTTGTTTCTAATCTATTCTTGGATATCTCTTTTAGCTCCTAAGCTTCATTGCTGCAGTACACTATTGTTAGCATCGCATTAGAAAATATTTGTTAAAGTTGAAAAAATTATAGTACAACATACATTTGAGGTAGTTACAATCAGCTTTCTTTCTTCCCAGTCAGAGCTTTGCTGCAATGTTCCCATACTAACTTGAAATGGAGGGAAGCTGGCTTTTTCTTTGTCACTGGTTGGCAGATACTCGCCTATTGTCTAAATGGTAATTAGAACAGCATGATCTTTACTTTTCAAACAAATATAAACATTCACTATTAGCTTTTGATAAATAAAGAAAATTATAATTTGGACATCTAGAGAAGATGGTCGAAAATGATTACGTAGGCCATAAGATCACCAACCTGCCCCCAAGGGTTTGTTTACACTTTTTGGGAACCGCTGCATTAGTTTATGCTTTTGATCCCAGCTAATTTTTTTAAATTTTATTTTGTTTTTTAGTTTGTATTTTTTTATTTTTTGTTGTTTTTTTGTTTTGTTTTTGGTAGTTAAAAGTATGCTGAGACTCTTATTTTTTGGTTACCGATATGACAGAAATCAAGATGGCTGACATCCCACAATAGAAAGTGGGAAGCGGTCTGGGCCATTTGATAAGTTCAAAAACAAGAAGTGCATTTTGGCGTATAACTGAATTTGTTCTTCTTTAAGGACATTTTTATTGAGACTGAAAATTTAAAGATTTAATTGGATGGGGTGGAGGCAGGGCATTAATCAGCGCGTTACGGCAAGTAACCTGAATTCACTCTTGTAGTGGTACACGTTCCTGTGTATTTTTTTGGCTCAGTCATAGTTTCGTCCCTCTTGAGGAGAGACGTTCCTGCGAGGGGTCAGAGAGATTCCTGAACGAAATACTGCTGGCTTTTTTAATTTTAGACTTCAAAAAATATTTTAAAATTAATAATGGTTAGAAAAAGTTGTACTATTTAATTTAATAAAATTTTTTATAATACTCAATAATTTTTCATCACATTTAATATGAACTCCAGTAATTACTAAAAAAAATAAGGGCTATAGCTAATTTTTTTTTAACGCAACTCGACTTTGAAGCGGAAATATTCGGCTATTTGCGGAGTTTCTGATGTATATTTGAATGCTAGAAATCAATGAGTGAACTTCTACTGCTAGTGTAAAACTGAATAATATGCAAAAATAAAGGACCGATGTCTTCATTTAATACTTTTTAACCTGAATTCGTTACATTAAACTCAAGCTAGCAACATAAGTATACATTACAGATCAATGAGAGTAAATATATACATTTAAAAAAATATTAAAATTACTGAATCTTTATCCTGTAACTCTTCCTCAAATGCAACAACTAGAGAAATTTTCATCTGAGTAATGAGACGCCAGAAGTCCACCACTGTTGTTGGGAGTGGAAGTTGTGTGATGATATTTTGCTTTCTCTGTCTGATACTCTGAAAAAGCAGCATCCCATATTAATCATTATTTATAAAGTACTTATTTTTTTCTATTATCTCAAAATTTAATATGAATATGATAAGATGTATCATTAAGACACGTATTGGCCTACATTTAAATGTTTCTACAAAATATGGGTAAATTACTTCTTACAGTAGTCAGCGTATAAACTTTGAAAACATATGAATTTAATTACCGGTGTTAACACAGCATTGATGTAATTGTCCATGTCACTGGATTCACACATGAGTACAGGCCTGTAAATTTCCTCTAAAGTGAATAAAAATAAATACACTTACCGAAATTTTCATTTATAACAAAAGTGTTATTAAAAAATAATGATTATGCAGAGTTGATATATTTTTTCTCATTTTACATACGTTGGAAATATTCAAATAATCATAAGTATGTAAGAAAAGGGGACTTAAAAAAACTTTAGCTTATTTTTTTGTTTGATTTTATCAGCGGAGTTCTTAACCTTTTGCAGTGCAAACGCACATTATTTTTTTTTTTAAATGTCCGCCTCCATTTCTTGATTTTAGAACATATGTTATGTACTCTTCACCATAATCAATGCAAAGAAAAAATGTAAAATGTCCTGTTTTTCTATTTAACAGCCCCCCTTGATACTGTCAACAACACCCTTGTTAAAGAAGCTCTGCATTGTGCTATTTTTACTATAACTATACAAGCTTACTTGGCAGGATGTTACCAAATCTGTTTTTGAGTTTATTGGAGACAGTTCGACTGTTTTGGTACATGATTCCAGCTGAACCTTCTTCATCTGTAAACTGACTTTCCTCCAAACACACACTGCATACTGCCTATATATATAACGCAAAGATTACAGCTATAAAAAGTTTGTTTGTCCTTAAGCAAAATCATACTATTTCAAATTTAAAGGCTAATCTTAAAAAAAGAACAAATACGAAATGATTTATAGCCACTGAAACTAGGTCATTGGTTTTAGTCATTTAATAATAAAAACAAAATACATCAGCAAGCAAGAGAATCTTCAAAAATAAAATCCAAAAATAAAATAACTTCTTACACTTATTATATAAACTTCTCATTGAAAATTGTTAATTTGGGACAAATAAAGCAAATTAGAATGTGTCACTGCCAACCTTCATTGTATGTAGCTTTAGTCTAAAAACTTACATCAAACTCTTTTTCCATTTCAGATGTACCAGAGATGGACTTTTTCTCCAATTGATGAACCCTGTTAGCAATATTATTGGATGTTATAGTTGTATTTATACAGGTCATTGCAACCTTGGCAGCCTCATGCAAGAATACATATTGTTCCTGAAATATTATAAACATCATATCCATAAGAGTATAGTGATATTTCCAAGTTTCGGACAGTTTTCGTTCTTTTGTTACTTAAGGGTAACCCAGCATCTAGTAACAATTCAATATTCAAAAGGGTCATAAATGTAAATTATGCTAAAATTTTATCCACAAATACATAAGCTTGCAAATATGGTATATCTCATAGTACCTAAAATTATAAGGAAGGTGCTAATCTTTTATTTAAGTTTTGCAAACAAAATTGGATTTTCTTCAGCATCTTTGATCATCATTGTATCAAGATAGATTAGTTTTGTTTTCATTCAGCAAATTAATTCCCGTACATGTGTTTATAAAAAATGTAAGATCATTAGAAATAAGTTATATTATATAATACACTATATACAGCACATAAGGAAAATTAGCACATAAGACATGTTAAGGATGTGATGTTCTAATATCTCACAGCTGTCTGTATCATCATCGTCCTGTCCTGCCTGAGTTTGGCCACTGTATTGAAAAAATCCATCTGTTGTGTATCCTCAGCTTCTCTCATTACGTTACGTAGAGCTATGAATGTTCCTGTACGGCCAACACCAGCACTGACATGGAGGAAAACATAAACGCTAAGTTATTATTTACATCATATGCAATAAACTTTTTTGAAATATTGTAACGTAAGGTCAAGTTGTTTGAACAAAGAACGGACTTGGAGATTATATCTTTTTTCATTATTTGAAAATGATAGTCTCAACAATAAAAGATATATTTTACCATGTAGAGAAATTTTAAATTTTTAAACTTTAATCACCGTTTTACTTTAGCACATTTTTTGCATAAAAAAACTTCAATTTAGGATTTGTATATTAAAAAACCTAGCTGTTTTATTTTCTATTACAAGGAAACATTTTCTCCACTACCCAAATGAAATGTTCTATATCACTCATTACAATAGCCCACCCAACATTAATTACAGATGTCAAAAGGTTATGTTAAAAAATATTTGCCAACCTGCAGTGAACCACAATGGGCCTTTTGGTTGCAGTTGCCGCCACTCTTTGTTCAAAGTCAACTAGAGCCCAGGGGTTTTCTGGTACACCCTTGTCTGGCCAGGATGTGAAGTGAAACTGGGTCACTGGATGCATTGGTTGGGAGTCCTGGATTTGTGGATATGATTGTTAGCTGATGCCAAAAAAAGTTCAACTTATTATTATGTTCAACCCTTAAAATCTGTTTTTTCCCCGTTTTTCAAGAGGAAGATGAAGAAAAAAATGATGCCACTGATTTCACAAGATAAAAGTCCTGATAACTGCGCTAAATGAGTTTTTTCAACAAAAATATCAAAGGTGCGTTTGTTGCGTAATATTTTCAATTGTTTTTCTGAAATAGTGAAATACATCGTTGGTGTAAAAGCTGGTGGGACATACGAATATTCAAATAAGATAATAATATGTGCATTTAAAAGGATTAATATAAAAAACCTCTTTAAAATGTTATGTTGGTTGACTATACAATAAATCTACAACATTTACAAAGAAAAAAAATATATTTATCATGATGAAATAAATACACCAGTGTCACACATTAGCTTACCATGTAAAGTTGAAGACGCCTTATAATATAATCAGCAAAGACTTGTGTAGCAGCCAGTCTGACACGTATTTCTCCAAATGTCGTCTCACCTTTATCTGGCCAATATGGGTCACACTTGGACTTGTTACATTAAATGAGGTAAAATTAAGTATTTGGATGATTCGAAATCGACCAATTTTATGTAAAAAAAATATTTTTTGATAAGACGAAACATGGCATTAAAAGAGGATTCAGTAAATTGCTGTCACTAAATGTATTCGAGAAACGTTACGTTTTATCATGTTTAATAAAATTTCTTGCTGTAAGAATAATTACTAAGAAAAAATTTCCCTAGAAACTAGACCATTGGTCGGAAAATCGCGGCTCGTGAGCGGCATTCGACTTTTTTATCGACCTGAGTGTGTCTCGTCCAGCCAGCAAAAAATCGGTTTTGACTCCTAAAACGAGGTTCTTTACGGTTTCTTGAAAAGAAATTCGGCTCTCAATTTTTTTTTTTCATCGTCCTGCCACTGATTTTTGGCTCTCTTGACTAGTTCCTTTGATGACCACTTAACTATAGCAAAGCGAATTCAAATATAAGAATAAAGTATTTACACGCTGTTTATCCCAGCACTCCATAGAACAGATGTTCCTAAGGAAAAGTCAAAAGGCCAATTTTATTTAATACAGGTAAGCTTTTGGGATGTCCTCCCACCCAAGCAAAGTTAGTGGGGACGTGTGGTTTATATTTTATTTTCTTGGATGAGTAACCATCAGAGGTAAAAGGGCTTCATTGACGCGAAGAGCTCGTCTTTGATGTGTTTTGTTTGGATGTTATGTTCTAGTGTTTACGCACCCAACTGAATTATAAAGCCCGTACATATGTATAGCCTATTTTGCACTGATTTGTTTAAATTTAATTTGTTTTTAAATTGTTTAGCTCACAAACATTAACGGCAGTCTAATAATGTGGGTGATAACTGTCAATTGTTGAAAGCAAATATTTATAAATACAATTATTTTTTTAATATTTATTATAGTTAAGTTTACAAATTTTTCACGAATGCACCATTTTGCATCCTTTAAAAGATAATGATCAGAAGTCACATTCTGGAAGTTTGTTTCAATATGTTTGTTAATAATTAATATAGCACAAAAAACAACTTACTTTTCCCTCTTCATAAAGATTGGTCAACATCACAACTTTTTCAACTTTTTGCTCCCAAATCATTCTAATGAAGTCATTTATTATAATTTTGTTTGGCCCTATTGAGATTAGAGAAAAATTATATATTTTTTTAAAATATGTTAATTTGAACAAACATTTTTTTTTAATAAGGCCATTATATAATATACAATATACAACGCTTTGATTTGATTATTATTCAATGTTTATTAATTTTTAAAAATGTGTTTAACATTGGAATAAAATATAAACAAACTGACGTCATTAATATTTCTTTACCTTGAGATGCTATAAACTTCTCCTCCTCTTTGTATCCCTGTAAAAGATAATAAAATTTTCAGTTTTTCACAGGACGCAGACAATTTTAATGAAATAAATGAAGTATAAATTAATTTTGAAAAGAAAGAAGAAGCTATTTATAAAAGAACACATTCAAATTATAAATAATAAAACGGCTTGGTTTGCGTCAAAGGGATGCACAATAATAAACAATCAGATCGATGTAGATCAACAATAGCATACAAATCACATACAAACTTTTTATTTTAAAAAAACAACAACATTCAATATTTATTTTGTTATGTATTTGCTTTGGTGTGTGAGCTTAAATGTAAAAGTGTAAGTGTCCTAATTAAACAATACTTAGAACTTGTCCCAGGTTGTGGGTTGATTAATGACAAGGGGGTGTACACTCTTTTGCTCTTTTATTAGTTATTGCCTGCTAATAGTTGATAACATCTCTTCAAAATGCCTATCTTTTTCTCCATATAAACAGAAGGTTGACTTGATATTCTGTACGGATAATTCAGTAAACGTTGCACATAGTAATTACTTTTAAGTAGGAAGCATTTATGTAATCTCCGTGCATTTTCGTCGAGTCAGCTTCCAAGTGAACCCTCGAGTGATCGTCTGTGAATACAATAAAATAATAGTCAGTTATTTATATAATGTATGTTGGTAAATTAAGTACAACAAACAAGATAACCAGTTTTGAAAAATAGTTTTTTTTTTTTAAATTTTGTTCTACATAAAAGTGATATTATTAAAAAATATATCAAATATGTATAGTCATTCATGCAGGATAACTAATAATAAACTTACATTTAAATAAATGTCAATTCAAATTGTGTAAGCAATATCAAAAACAGTTTTTTAGTTTATTAATAATTTTGTTCAATATCAAGTAAAATAATTTGAAAAAAAAACAACATATCTGTACTAAGATCTATTAAATTAATAGTGTTTCAACTTCGTTGTCCTTCTTCCAGGTCTCTTTGATATGTCGCAGATGTGTCTTGGCTTGTCAATTTTATATTTACTGAATGTTTAGCTTTTTTTAAAATTTTATGGATATCTGTTTCGTCGTGAAAGACCCGGCGTAGCTGTTTTCACCTATAGGTGACTTCCTCATTTTTGTCAAATTCCGAATAACAATTGTGTGAATTATTGTTCATTTGTCGTGACATAATTTTGACTAATTCTTTAAGTCCTCATTGTTTAAGGAATGTTTGTCAGTGATGGAGCTCGAGGCAATCTGAAGATATTTTCATATATAGCATCTACCCTTTTAACATTTCTGTCTCTTTATTGAAAAAAAAAAAAACTATCTTATTTTAGTAGCAAGTGCTTTTTCTGTCTCTTGTGTCATTACAGCTACCAACTTGCTATTACAAAGTCTTGAAATCTTAAGATTCAGTTTCAAATGTTGTTGTTCTTATACCATAAACCATTCTAGCGAATAACAAAAAGTGGCTTAATTTTCTTTCATTGATGATGTCATCAATCTAGCTCCGCGTTCTTCCACCATAAGATGTTTAGTTAAGCTTGTGTATGATTATGTGGGTATACAATTTGTCTCCAAAACCAAATATTATTTTCTTTTTAAAGTTGAAATTTGGTTGCAGTTTTTTTTTTATTTTTATGTATCTTCTAAGCCATGTTTGTTCAAAAATTATTTCTCTACGAGGATATCATTGGAGATGTTCTGGCATGGCTTGTAAATAGTTGGAATATGTAGTTTTCTCTTCAATATTTGTTTCCTCAATTTTTAAATATCAAACAAGTTATAGTATTTTCAAGCGTGTTTCCAAAGTGGATAACCTATGGATTTATTTATTTGGATGATGAAATCCATTCATTCCTGTTGATTTTCATATGTTTTGTTTCCAGAGGATTAATTTCCACAACTACCACCCTCATCAACACTGCCACCCCCACCACCACATTTGCTTAGTTGGGATGTTTGAGGATTTATGGGCTATCCCGTAAGACGATTTTGCTATGGACAAAAATCAAAAGAAAATGCCAACATCAGGAGTGAATCAGGTCAGATTACTCGACTCATTAAGTTTTTAGACATGAAGTTACTAGGACGTATACAGCTCAAGAATGAAACCCATCACTTCTAAATCATGCATTATCCCCATTGTTGGACTGGTTACAAACTTCATTTGATTTGAAATATGACATAAGATGAGCTTGAACCGAGGCGCTTCAGTATAAGCGAATCGGAAGTAATCGACGTGTCATTAACAGTGGAAGGAAAGTAAAAGTTTAACTCTTAAAATATTATTTTAAAAATGTAATCGCTATATGTGTATGAATATCAGATTTACTATGTTTTAATCACGAAAGCGTGTTACAGCATACATGCACAAATATTCTTGTATCGATTCTTGTTTTTATTTTCAGCACTCAGGCCAACCATCATCGTAGCCTCTGCGTTATCTGGAAAATTCTGTAAAAAAAAAAAAAAAAGCAATAAAAATAAGATTGGATAAAAAATGTAAGTTTAGCTGTAAGTAGCAATTATATTAACAGCACAAATATTCTTGTATCGATTCTTGTTTTTATTTTCAGCACTCAGGCCAACCATCATCGAAGCCTCTGCGTTATCTGGAAAATTCTGTAAAAAAAAAAAAAAAAAGCAATAAAAATAAGATTGGATAAAAAATGTAAGTTTAGCTGTAAGTAGCAATTATATTAACAATAAAGATCTCAGAACAAATAAGTCAACTTTTATGATAATTAACTTAAACAATTAGTTTATAAGAACAGTAGAATGTATGCCGGTTGTCAAAAAGCTTTCTTTGCATTAAAACCTTGGGTTTTTAAATATTCATCCTATTTTATTAGTGAACATGGAAAATCAGAGATATATTTTCAAATCTCAAATTAAGTTTTACACCAATACACAACATTAATGAAAAAAATCAAGAACATACTTGATTATCTAGAAATTTTAACGTTAAGAGTGTTCCTGCATATTCTAAGCTATTCAATGTTCTTTTAGAACAATTAAGAAGTTTTTATTATCCCCTAGAGAAGTTCATAAAAGGAAATTATTTTTTTTTAAAATTATGTGATATTATTAGTAAATGCTATTATAAAATGGTAAAATACTGCCATTAAATTATTTTTGTTTAAAATATCCGTTAACACTAAAATGCTAATTTAGATTGTTAGCTATGAATTGACAATGCTCCAAGAAAGTTTAACTGTTAAAGAACTAAAATCCGAATAGTTTGCTTTTGTTGACTTACTTTGAATTGTTCATGAAGATACTCTTTACTATGAGTGAGAAGGTAACTTTGTAGATTAGACAACGTGATAACTGTTGATGACGTTACAGGCTGTAGAGTAACTGTGTTATAATATCCAGTTCCATTTTCTTCTGAAGTTTCCCTATCTTCAACAATCGTGGCTTTTGGCTTTTGGGGAATTTCTGGTTTTACTATACGATAAAAATTCCACAACCAATTAAAATGTATTTCAACTTTCAGCAATAGAGAAAATTAACCAGAAGGAAAGGTCGGAAATATTTTGTTATTTTGTTTAGAACTCTGGTTTTAACATAATTATTTTCTTTGCTCATAAATGAAAATTATGTTGAGTGTGGCCATATTTCATATCCTTTTACGTTAAGATGAAACTAATGAAATCTCAAAATATAATAGTCAGTGATCCCATAGACCCACCTTCCATTCCCTATCCCCTTTGTTGTCTGCGATCCATGAGTCTCAAAGTTGAAACCAGGGCTGAAGAACTTTGCATGAAAAATTGTTATTGTAACTTAAATTTCCAGCAATATAAAGTTGTTGTCACAGTGATTTTTCTAAATACCTTTTTTACTTCCTTCTTTATTTTCTAGTTTTCGTGAAGTTGCCACGTGATCTGGAAAGTCAGGTTCAATAATTAGGTTGTCTACACTTGTGTTTTGTCTCCCTGACATTTGGTCAGATCTCTTATGTCGTCTGTGAACATTAACCGCGTGAGTAGCATAAATGTAAAGGAAAATACATTATAATGTTTGGTGCGATTAGAAGATGGTTGGATGGTGGAGAAGGTGGGTTGAGATTTGAATAGCGTGAATGGCTTAAAGTATTTTAACTGTGCAAAACGTACGTGCAAGATTATTCAAAGCCTTGTTAACTATTGGATGACAGTCGTCACGTAAATTTTAGCGAGTCAGTCTTACCCAAATGGTAGTTTATAAAAGTATACACTTCAATTAATTGGTTTTAAGTTAAAGCAATTCTAAGATTAAACGAGTTGTGAATAAGAGTGGGTGGTGAGCATGAGTGGATGGTGGTAGGAGTTGGTGAAGAGGAGTGGGTGGTGTGCAGGAGTGGGTGTAGAGTGGGATGGGCGGTGAGTGGGAGTGGGGGTGATCAAGAGTTAACGGTGAGCATGAGTGGGTGGTTAACAGGAGTGAAAGGTGAGTGGCAGTGGGTGGTGAGTGTGTGGTTAGTGAGAGTGGATAGAAAGTAGGAGTGGGTGGTTAGTTGGGGGGGCAGTGGCAAATGGGAGTGGGTGGACAGTGAGAGAGTGTAATGAGTGGGAGAGGATTGTCAGTGGGTGTGAGCGAAAAACGATTAAGAGGGTGAAAGGGACAAAGATATTAAAATCTACTTTCTTACCTCCAAAAGAAGAAGGCGCCACCAATGAGAAACACTACAACAAGTCCACAGATTGATCCAACCACTGCTCCAATAATTGCCTTATCATTATCATTACCATTATCCGATGTGGCTAACGTTGCTATCGTGGAAACAAAACAGAACATTATTTACGAAACAATTTTTTTCTTGTTCAAAAAACAAGGTAAATATAAAAAGTAAAACACCGAAATGTTAATAACAAATTGCTCTAAAGCTATATGGCTTTGTGTATAAAATATACAATATTTTGAAAATTTTCAAAATAAAGGAGACTATGATGTATGATTGTATATCTGCGTTTTTTTTTCTCTTTCTGGTTTTGTGGATGTGTGTGTGGATTCTGACAAAGCAATGCACTCTTTTACAGCCTTTTTAATCACACATTTCTATAAACACTTACCATCCCCAACTATCACTCCTACTCCTTTTTTCTACTTTCCCGAAGATCTGAGCTTACAAATAATGTCCAGATATAAGAGTTAGAGTGGAGTTCGTCTAAAACAAGTCTGCTCTAAATTACAAGTTGAAACTAATTCAGTGATGAATTAATTTGTTTAATGCAAAGATACTACTTGATGCTATGTCCCATGGCGACCAAATTGGTTGCTAGGAACCGTGAAATGTCAGGGCATTAAAATTTGTTTCAGAATATCCAAAAAACAATATGCCCATTTTTTCCAGAAAATAAAAAAAAAAATAAATCAAAAAAAAATTTACAAAATAGCGGGAAAATGAAACTATTATAATTACCCCATTAATAAAATTTTAATTTAAAAAATTCCAAAACAAAAGTATATTCGTTTACAATACTTTTTTTAAACGGTTAAGTTGACGTTCCCAAAAATCATAAGTAATCATTGTATATTTTATACTCATTTAAATATTTTCAATTTTACTAGATAAGAGAAAAATGAATAAAAATGTTTGAGTAGATGAGTTAAGTAGATTATTATGGCTGTATAAAACTATTCTTTTATTTACATTGCATTTTAATTATTTATGTATGCATGGCATCTTTCCATCTGCGGGAGACGATAGATTATCTTTATTGCTTGCAGCTCTTGGTGTGGCTGGTGAGGCCAAACCTCTAGTGGTAGTCTCTGTTGCATTTCCCACACACAAATGTGGTGGAACAATATTTTCTGGCCTTTCTCCTCACTCATTTTGCAGCTGTTTCCGCCCTGTTTTGCTCCTCGGCATGTAGTGATCCTGCCTTCACGATGTCCCGCCATGAGGATCGATCCTCTGCCAGGTACTCCCAGTTTGAGATGTCGATGTTGGCCTACTTCATGTCTCTTTTGCATATGTCTAAGTCTCTCAGACGAGGCCGTCCAACTGACCTTTTCCCTGTCGCCGGCTCGCTGTGTAGCACGTCCTTTGGTATGCGACCAGGTTGCATTCGCTTGACGTGTCCAAGCCAGCAGAGGCATCTTTTGATTAATATGGCTGAGACGCTACACATGTTTGTTTGGGACAGGACATCCGTGTTGTGGACTTTGTCTTGCCATTTAATGTCAAGGATGTGGCACAGGCATCTGAGGTGGAAACCACTGAGCCTTCTTTGGTGCTTCGAGTATGTGGTTCACGACTCGCATCCATAGAGGAGTGTGCTCAGTACGCAGGCCTGGTACACCTGCAGCTTAGTTCTTGTTGTGAGTTTGGCGTTGGACCAGACTCTTTTCTTCAGTCTTGCTCTAACAGTAGCGTCTTCCCTATCCTTCCACTTATCTCATCCTCCATTGAGAGGGTGCTCGATATTTTGGATCCTAGATATGTGAAACTGTCAGTCGATGGCGATAGTGGGGAGGGAGTCATAGCCCTGTGCCATAATGTTAGTTTTCTTTAGGCTAATTGTCAGGCCAAACTCTTCGCACGCAGTGGATAGGCTGGACACGAGGCTCTGCAGGCGGTCTGCTGTGTGAGATACCAAAGTGGCATCGTCTGCAAACAAGAACTGCCGCAACATGACCTTTCTTATTTTGATCTTAGCTCTAGGACGGGCAATGTTAAAAAATTTGCCGTCAGCAGTGGTGTGGATGTATGGTATCCCCTCGCTGTTGTTCTTAAAGGCATACTGGATTAGGATGGAGAAAAAGATTGCAATGCAAATAAGTTAAGAGCCATCACGCAACCTTGCTTTACTCCACTACCCACTGGAAAAGCTTCTGAGGCTGCACCGTTATAGCCCACTGAGCCCTGCATGTTATCGTGAAACTGCTTGATGATGTCAAGCAATCGTGTAGGGCAGCCTATCTTTTTAGGATCTGAAACAGGCCGCTTCGGCTGACAAGATCAAAAGCCTTAGTGAGGTTGACAAACGCAATGTATAAAGGCATATGTCGCTCCCTGCATTTCTCCTGCAGTTGGCGCAAAGAGAAGATCATGTCTATGGTTGAACTACCGGGGCGAAAACCACATTTCGATTCTGGGAGTACACGCAATGCTAGGGTCTGTAGGGGTGTTAATGCAACTCGAGCGAAAGACTTTTCAACTATGCTGAGGAGGGAGATTCCACGATAGTTGTTGCAGTCGTTCTTGTCTCCTTTATTTTTGTACAATGTAACGATGTTTCATCTTTCAACTCTTGTGGTAGCTGTCCCTGTTCCCAGCACAGAGTAAGGATATCGTGCAAGGGCCGTAATAGTACTCCTTTTCCATATTTGAGAGCGTCTGAAGGGATGCCATTATTGCCCGGGGCTTTTCCACTGGCGAGACAATCGATGGCTCTACGTAGCTCTTCTGTGGTGGGTAGGGTATCAAGCTCCTCCATGATCGGTAAGTCTGGGATATCGTCCAGGGCAGCGGTTGAGACATGGTTTATCGTTGCGTATATCTCCAAGTAGTGCGCTATCCACCGCTTTAGTTGTTTATCTCGATCAGTAATACGTTTCCCTATTCTGGACATTAAGGGCACAGTCTTGGAGATCAGAGGGCCTATTGCTTGCTTTATATTCTCGTACATTGCCTTTGCTTCGCCTCTTTCAGCAGTTGATTGTATGCTGGAGCTTAGATTGAGCCATTATGTGTTACCGTAGTGTCGAGCTGCCTGCTGGGCATTGTTCTTGCACCTTTTAAGCGATTGTAGAGTTGCTGGGCAAGGTCTGTCTTTATAAGCTAAGAGGGCCTTTCTTTTTGCATCCGTGACATGTTTCATTTCTTGCCAATGGGCCTCTAACCAATCTGCACTTTTGCATTCTCTCTTTCCAAATGCCGTGATAGCCGAGTTATAGATAGTGTCCCACAAATGTGACAATTTGAACTCAATAGTGTCTATTGGTGGCGTTTGAACAAGAGCTTCTTGTAGGCTATATGTGTATACTTCTGTTCTCTCTGGGTTTTTGGTGGAGCAGATGTTTATGTGTGGTTTATTCTTGTTTTTAGTGTGATACAGTTTCTTTGGCTGTAGCCTTAATCTTGCTAGCCACTAAGGAATGACCAGTGTCGCAGTCTGGTCAGTGGTAGCTGCGTGTGAGGAGGACACTGGCCAGTTGTGTGCGTCTTGTGATTATGAGATCTAACTGGTGCCAGTGTTTAGAGCGGGGATGCCTCCATGACACTTGGTGGATAGCCTTACAGTTGAAGTATGTGTTTGTTACACATAGTCCATGTAGGCAGTTCCAAAAGTCGCTGCCCATTTTCATTTAGCCTGCCTCTTCCAAAATGACCAAGGCATGTCTGCCAGGCTATGTGATCGTTTCCTACTCTTGCATTAAAGTTACCCAAAAGGTAAATTGCTTCATTGTTGGGTATGCTCGCTATTGTTTGATTAAGATCAGGAACAGTTGAGGCGACAACACTAGACACATTTGTGTCTATTGCCTCAAGCCTTCAAACCCCTAGTGCATAATTTCCTCATCACCACCAGTAACAGAAACATTGCAAATCCCATCTACATGCATAGGAGCCAAAATGATCAATAAATTGATCGTGGGCCCTTAAGATATAGAAGAAGAAGAAGATCTTCAAAGAACTGGTCTTTGGCTTCAGAGTTGGAGGAAAGGGTTGGGGAATAAGCACTGAGGATGTTGACTGAACCTGAAGATGTTGATAGACGGATGGTTAGTATTCTAGTTGTGCCCTTTGTCGGTGGTTCTATGGAGGAGCAGAGTGTGTTTTGTATAGCAAAACCAATCCCATGTTATCTTGGTGCGTCCATTCGTCCACCCTGCCAGAAGAAAGTGTAGTTAAGTTCTCTTATGGTACCAAATTCGGGGAGCCTAGTATCCTGGAGACAGGCAATATTAATGTTTAGCCAGCTAAGCTCTCTATCAATGATAGCTGTCTTCCTTGCATCGTTTATGAGCTGCAGGTCGATACATATTCCTTACGTTCTAGCCAGCTAGTCAAAGATCTGGGGTCTTCTTTTCTTTTGTTTCCTTATTTCTAGGTGCATGTTATTGTGACCTACTTGTTGAGATTTTCCTCTGAACTCCACACACCCCGTGAAGCAGGCAGGACATAGCGGGATAGCACCTTATTGGCTTGGGGCTGCCCGGCTTGAGGCGGGCGGTAACATTGCAGTGAGACATGGCGATCTCTCCCACCGTCAAAAGCAACCCCTGGCACCAATTGAGCTATGGCTTAAAACCGGTAACTGCTGCTTCCCGTGTTGTGTTCAGACCTTTCGGCGATGTTGGAGTGTCCTCTCCAGTGAAGATAAAGCCTTATAATTATATATTTATGTTAAAAAAATATGAGATACTTTTAATAAACATCAGGAATCTTACAATGTGTGATTATTCCAGGGAAATAGCAGCTTTATAGATGAAAAATAATATGAGGTTAACGGTAATTTTAAACTATTATAATTACTTTCAGATTAAATACAAACTAATAAAAATCGGGTGAACTTTTATTTAAACCTGTTGATCTAGTCGCACACATTTTCTTTCCACTCCCTAAAAACACCTAGACATTTTTTAATTGGCAAATTAATTTAAAGTGTCGATTTCTAAATCTTGAATTAAAAAAATGGCCCCCAGAAGGCTGAAGCCTTGTGTCAAGTGCCCGGTAAGCACACTCATTATTAAGACGGCACCCTATGTATGCGCGTGTATATGCGTTTGTGGGTAACTGTGTCTGTTTTTGTGTTTATGTTTGTGTTTGTATGACTAGATGGATGTGCGGTCAAAATTAGTCAATTTCGATCTGCTCAAGTTTCATGTTGTGGCCATTGTTTTTTTTTTCCTCTGAAACAGGAGTGCCTGATATTGTGCTATTGCACTGCATGTTGCTTGACATGCATTCTGAACAGGCGTCCCTACACTGGGTGATTAGCATTGCATAATAAATATAACAGCAATCCTCTATATAGTGGAGAAAAGAGTAAGACAACAAAAAAGTCACTGGTTCTAGAATAACATTTAACGTCTTTAAAAGAATAAATCTGAGATATGATGTTGAATTTTCGTTTTAAAAAAACAACTATAGATCGCGTTAACATATTTAAGACATTTAAAAAAAAAACATTAGAATTTTTACTATAATAACACTTTTAATTGGTATAAAGGGAACTAAAGTTAACACAATTTTTAGAAACGTTTTCTTTTGTTTCAAAAAATTGAAATGACACTAATTTATTTATGTAAAGTAAACAATTTAAAAAAAAAAAAACATTCACATATTCTCTCATGCAAATTTACACCAGTTTATGTAAGCATATTGCTTTTTAGTTTATGTGGTATCGACCTGACAGTACGGTAATTGTATTATCCTTTCATCCTAGCTTATTAACTGACAGTATGTAAGGCACGAGAAAAGCCGACAATAATGACGCCTAATTATTATTATATTATTCAGTCTAACTCCAATTAACTCACCTGTGGTACAATCAAGTCCATCAAATCCACTTCGGCATCCATTTAAACAACGACCATATTCACTGTCACAGATTCTAGCTGCAGTTGAATTTGTGTTACAGTTTGAACTACAACTGGCTGTACAACCTTCACCGTAGGTGGAATAACTGCATTCTGGGAAGATGCCAACACAATTCACAATAATTTAAAATATTTAAATTTAAGACTAGCAGTTTTTATTTATTCATTACTTTACAACAATTTTAAAAAGAAATTACAACATTTACGGCTTTAAAATATATTAAAGTAAAAAAAAAATACTATGTTTACTAACAAACAGTGAAGTTTTATTAAAGAAAGACAAAATACATTGAAGGGCCCTGTTCCCTAATAAAGAATTAAATACGAATGTTTTACTTCGTCTTTTTTTATAATTAACTAAGGCTGCACATTGCATGTATGGGTAGATTAATTGCATAGTTTTACTAACCTTCATCACACTTATCACCTTGGAAGCCAGCCTTACAACTTTTACAAATACCAGAGTTGATATCACAGACTGAATCTTTACAGTTGGATGAGCAAGGTGTGGTACAATTGAAGCCGTAGAAACTAGTCATACACGCCAAACATTTCCCTTCTATGACGTCACAAATAGAGCCAGTTTGAGAACAATTTTGTGAACAGTTTGACTTGCACTCGCTTCCAAAGAAACCAGGATCACAATCTGGAATAGGAGAAACCTGGCTTAAAACGTTCAACAATATTGACTTCTTTTATTGTAAAAAAAAATATTTGAAAGTATTATGTTCATATCGTGTGCTTAGATTTATATTTTTAAGAAAAAAATATTTTAGCTAAACAACTTATCAACGTAATTTAGGTTCAACATTTAAGGAAAGTATGATTTTAAAATCCCTGTGTCGATTTAGTCAACCAACTTTTATTTTCTTAGCAGGTTTAAACGGTTAAAAGGAGTTTAATGTAAGCAATGTAAGTTGTTATTAGAAATTATGGTTATTTCTTTACCGATTTATTAATTGATCAATAATTTATATTACATTTGACGATATAAACCAAAGACTACATTGAAAAGATGTATTCATGCAACATTCTTTGAAAATTCTTTAACGCAATATTTTCTGTTCTAAATATTTTCAATGGTTATTACTTTAGTTTTTCTAGATTATTTTGTGTTTATTTGCTTATTATTTTATATGACTTTTGGGTGTGTTAAAATATATAGTTTTGCTAACCGTGTCAATATAAGTATGCATACCTTCTATGCAATACGGAAGCTTCTTTCCTTTAGTAGCACAGCTGGTACATTTTCCGTCTTTGCCTTCACATTGACCTGAGCAATTACTGCATTGATTTTTGCAGTCGACTCCAAAGTGGCCTTCGTCACACGCTAAATATATAATTACACAATCGACAATGTTATTTATTCTACATTGTTCTATGAAAATAATTTAAAAACAAACACAAGTGAGACAAGAATTAACTGAACTATTATATTTCCCAAAGTTGTTTCAAAATTGTAATAAAGGAGGATGATTGATTCGAATTCTATAATAATTTCAAATTCTAAAAACTGCCTCTGAAATTTCAAAAAGTTATTTAAATTTTTTTTAAAAGAGACATGAATTCTTTGGGAATTAGAAAATTAGATCTTGCTACCAGGGTAGCGTGTAACACATAAACCTGTTACCAGAAAAGCTGATAACCTTGACTTTACAAAGTAAAAAGGAGAAAACTTTTAAAACGATGCCCTAAAGGGGGCGGGGACATGACTGTTAAAAGTGTTGTAGAACTTCAGAAACAAATCTGTACATGCAGTAATTGATAAATCATTTTGTGAAAGTCTCTGTATACTTACTTTTGTTACATCCTTCTCCGTAAAATCCAGCCTTACATCCAGATGGACAGTTTCCTGTACTAACAAAACACTTCTCACCTTCTACAGCACAGTTACAGACATGTTCACAATCACGACCATACGTTAACTTATCTCTTGGACACACGGAGTCTGGGAATAAAATATATTTTACAAATGTAAACCTTTCATTGTACTGTTTTAGAATGAAATTTGTCGTTGCGTATCACGGTTACTAAAATTTTAAACAACCCTAAAAGCGAAGTTTTTCGTATAAATCCTTTATGGCAGCGGTTCTCAACCTGTGGGTCGCTACCCCTTTGGGGGTCGCAGGACCCTTTCCAAGGGGTCGCCTCAGACCATCTGAAAACACATATGATCTACATTTATGAAGTAGCAATGAAAATAATATTGTGGCTGGGGGTTTTCTACACCATGAGGAACTCTATTAAAGGGTCCCGGCATTACAAAGGTTGAGAATCACTGCTTTATAGGCATTAAACAAAGTATATGAATATTTTAATGGCCCACCAGCATTTTTTCCCACATATTTATTTCACCAACTATTTCAGAAAGACGAAAAGAAAATATTAGACAACAGTCAAGAATTAACTGAACTATTATATTTCCCAAAGTTTTTTTTCAAAATTGTAATAAAGGAGGATGATTGATTCGAATTCTCTAATAATTTCAAATTCTAAAAACTGCCTCTGAAATTTCAAAAAGTCACGCTTGCAATATTTTATGAATCTCATTTAGCGCACTTAACGGAAATGTTTTTTCATGAAATCAGTGGCATCATATTTCCTTCATCTTCCCTTTGTGAGACCGGAGCAACTGATTTTATGGGTTTGGGGTTGAAGTCGGGGGTTTTATGGAATGTCTTGTGATCGGCAGAGAGTCTTTGTACCAAGTTTCAGCTCGATAATTTTTATGGAAAGTAGATCAATTAGTCTTTGGATGAATGTTGCCACACACACTGTTAAAAATGCAATGTTATTTATTACATTTTTGTTTAAAAATACTCTATATTGCTGAAAATGATCATTTCTTATTGATAATTTAAAAAAAAACAATAAGGGAGTGTTACATTTTATTTTTAACATTAAAATTCTGTATAAAGCTAAGCATTTCAAAAGTTGAACAAAATTACAATTTCTTGCATTAATAAATATTTCGTCGTTAAGCACAGTATTTTTACATGCATGTTTTGATTAATTTTTAAAATCATTAACAAATATTTACTAGAAAATAAATAACATTTTTAGAGGTAATTTATTATCTTTAAACTTTATTATTTTGTCCCTATGAAAAGTTCGAATTTTTACTTTACATCCGCACCGGTCGGTAGAACTCATGGCCAACTGCATCACTGACAGCTACAGTTTGAAATTATCTATGTTTCGCTGCCATCGTTAGCGTTTGATGTAATTTTAATTGCAGAAGTAGATTAAAACAGGTAATAGTATCATTTTATAAATAGTAAATTATGTTTTGAAATATTATTTTTATTTAAATTTGAATCGAGTTTATAAATAACCAAATAGTTCGATCGAAATTAGGTTAGAGGTAGGAAGTTATGACCTCTGCCTAAGAGGGTCTATGGCGTAATTTATGTATGCCTTTCTTCTAATTTCATCAGATTAGAACACTAGGCATACCGAACTCTAATAGACAAAAATTAGACCAAAGCTATAGTCTAAACTGTTTAGGCTTAATAATATTAAATTTTTAAATAGCCGTATAATGGAAAGTCAGTGTGCCACATGGCAAAACATTAGACTTAGAATCATTATTAATTATTCAGTAGGCTTAATTTTAGTTAATAATAGTAATAGGCAAGCGAGACCCATTATAAATAAATTATACCAAGCCTATTCTATACAAAAACAATATTATTATAAAATAAGTAGGCTTATGCGATATTATTATCAGGCTATTAGCTTGAATGTTGAATAGGTTAAAAGTAAAAATACAGTACCGAACTGTTGATGTGCAAAAATAGAGGCAAGAATGGGCTGTGCATTGAGTAAAGGATTTAAACAAATTTTTTTGCAGCTCGTGACAGCTTGTCCAATTTCACAATTAAGTGTTGTAAAAATATAATTCAACTGCTTATTTCTTCATTTAGATTCCATTTTTAGTAGTGTTTAATGATTTTACATTGTAGGAAAAATGGGGTTCTTTTTTTATTCGACACAACTGTGGTTTTGTATGGATAAAATGTTGCCTAGTCCAGTCTAAAAACTGTGGTAAAGACTGTCACTCAAGGATAGGACTGCACAGCCACTCGAGAAAATGCAACCCAACCAAACGGTGATGCACCATCGTCTCACGAGACGGAAGGATGCCGATAGTCCAGTCTAGAAAATATTGTACAAAAGTGTACGTTTTAGAATACTCAGACGTCAAAATAGATTACCATAAAACACAATGCGCTCATGTAATGTTCTAATGTTTCTTAAACAACGTGTACAGAAAAGACGTTCATGTGTGTTCACTTAAAAATCTTATATTTGGCAATACATGACCGACCTAGTTCCAACGAAAAACTGTGACTTTTTTTGCATAATAACTGTAGCTTATTTAAGAAAAAGTTAACGTTTAATTTCATCACAAAATTATAGAGAAATCTATGCAATATGTAACAACTAAAATATTAACATAATGAATTTTTTTTTTCTGATATGAGCTATACAAAAAACAATTTATAACAGATTTATTGCAGGGTAGGATGGAACTGAATTAAATCTAAGCAACATTTCAGTTTGTGTGTGACATAATAAGTAGGTTTCTGAATTAATACAACAATTTTGCGTTTTGAGCCGAGGGCCTTATTTTTTTATTTTTTTTAAAATTTTATTTTAGATGGATAAATATAATTTCAAACATATCTACTGTATTGGTGAATCAACCACTACAAGTGTGTGGAATTAATTTTTAAAAGCCACGTTTCTCACTTGGACAACTGTATGTTTCTTTCTCAGGCATCGAAGAACCTTCTATTTTATTTGTGTACGCACAAACATGAAAAAAAAAAGTCTATTTAAAAATTACTTCAAACACGTAATTAAAACAACAAGAATTTGTCATTACAACGCATGCCGGGTTCTCGCTGGTAAATTAGAGTTAAATTGATCTGTACGGCTAAAAAGAAACATGTCGTCTTCTAACTTAAACTTACCACCGAAAATCTCCACTTCACACAGAGTTAGGATAATTACATCTGATGGATTAGTTGCTGTAATTTGAACCATTGAAACTTGAGTCCATGGATCAGTTGATAGAACGTTGTACACATCCAAAGCTGATATCTCAGTATCAGTGTAATTTTGGACAATGTTATTGGTTTGGTCAAATGTTCTAAGAATAAATCCTTTCAATCGGTTAAGAAGAATGACTGCATCATCTCCATCTGTTGATTATATAAAACAAGAAATCGATTAAATTTTAAGCAATAAATGCAGATATCTAGTTACAATCAAACATGGAAAACCTGCAGCCTATAATCACCCTTTTAACATCAAAAGAGTTTAACGTGATACAAACTCTTTCTATTTGTATTACTTTTGAGAATGAAAACAAAATTAAAACACCGAAAATATATTATGTATTTCTTTCCAAACTTTTAACCGTAATAAGAAAATAATTCAACATGACTGTAACTATTCTAGGTATTTTCATTTTTTTAAATGCCTTAATTATACATATTGTAAGGAAACCTTGCTTGCTCTCTGCTAACATTCATCTATATCTGACATCCACTAAAGAAACAACTCAGGCAATAACATTTGATGATTATAGTCTTGTTCTTTATTAGGCTGAAACTTCGCTTATACTTTCTCTCATCTCGCAACTCTGACTGCCCTCTTCTCATACCGTCCGAGTTCTCCCTGCTATCTGCTTCTCTGTCAAGCCGCCTTCTCCCCGTCCCGTCCAGAGGTCCCTATTTATAAGTCCAGATGGCCGGTACCGCCCCCGGCGCTTGATCCGTCGATCGTGATCCCTGGTCAGATGACACCTGTATCTGGGCAGACGGTCGGTAATCCCTGGTCAGACGCCCTCGGCGCCGTCGTGATCCGGACTCTTCACAATCCCTGGCGCCGTCGTGGTCCAAACTCTCCACAATATCTACTCTTAGACAAGTAAGACTTCTGTCCGGTGCGCACAAATACATTATGTGCCAAAAGAAACATAAATTAAAATCCCGCATATTTTTCGTGACGTGCATTTGGAAACTGTTAATAGCTCCAGATTACACGTGTATAGAAAAGAGTGTGTACTAAAGTGACAAAGATATTATCATGGAGTTGGAGGCTGTGTTTGAAAATTTGTTTAAAGCCGTATTAAATAAGACGGCACCAAGAAACACAATAAAGTTGTTATTGGAATGTATTGTGGAAACGGAACAGGAAATATGGTCAGCATGCATATTTTGCAAAAATGAGAACCTTTCCAATGTCTCCAGTAGGTGCCGTTTTTGCCTCTACGAAATCTTCGTGCAAACCTCTTTCCATATAATTGCGACAATATTGCGTTGACCGTTTGTGTAAATACATTAGTGGAATTTTTCGTATCGTATACAGATTGGACAATTCCTCGAGGAGCGATATATGCGAGCCAGAATTAAGTGTCGTAGAAATTTCTATCTCTGGTATACGAGAATACAGAATTTTATAGGAATATATGTTTCTTCAACAAAGGTCAAATTCAATTACTCGTCAAACAAAGTAGAACAAGGTTTATTAACGCTTTCATAAAAAAAATAGAAAAATTAGTGAAAAACGTTTCTGCTAAGAGTCTTCCTCAGCTGACATAACAAATGAATACAGACAAGAAATAGAAAAGAGTTTCTTAAGCGATCGCCATTGTTATTGCCAGAAGTTGAATTTTCTAAAACCAAGATTACAGGATGTAAAGGATGTATGTATTATTACTATGAAAATAACATCTTAACTGACAAAAATACTTTGAAGTGTTGTAAAATATAAGAAAAATGGAAAGAAATACAGGTATATTGAGGATCTTTAATAGGATAATATTTTATTAATTCCATATAAGGATATTGTATCTTTATTGTAAACTAGAAAATATCACACGATGTTGTCGAGATAATAATGGCGTTAACTTTGCAATAATTTCCACCTGCAATTTCAAAAATTCAACACAATTCAATGTTAAAATATTTTTTTTACATGTAATGATGTTTAAGTTTCTTACATCATTAAAAGTTTTGAGAAGTATTTATATGCTATATATCATACTAGATACAGCCCGCCAAACATTGGCTACAGCGATGCGTGAACTTCCCATCTACTAAAGTTACTTGACAAAAACGTGAACTCAAGTTACGCACATTTAAGAATGTCATTTTGCTTTAACCCCCTCTTTTTCATGATACGCCACCCACAGCTTACCATACACCGCGAGCTTATTGGGGTGTGCGCATGGCTGGCAAACGAGGGTGGTGCAGGCGGGGGGCGCTAGCTCCACCGCAGTGCGCATGTCTCGAGACCAACGATGGACAGGCAACGGAAGCGAGGGGAGGGTTTGGCTGCGTCTTGTCTGCTCTGGCGTATCTATATATAGACTGCATTGTCTTGTTTGCCCTACTTCTGGTGAATTATATATTATTGATCCCTACCCTTCCCATCTTTACGCCCCAAACTACAATTTTATTACTATAAACATGAACTTAAATTACCAAATCAAAATGATGACTAATTAAATCATTATTATCAGTATATGAGCTCATTTAAGTTTGATTTCTACGCAAGATAAATTCGTTTGATGTCATGTATTTTTAAATTGTTTATTGTTGGGCATAAACTACTATTTTCGTGCCCCTGAAATAAAAATAAATTCTCTAAATGTTGTGAAATATTATTCTTAAATTTACAACAAAAACTCTATATATCATTTTAAATATATTTTATATTAACAGAATTTGGTATACTGATAACTTCAATAAAAATTTAGCCCAACTTTTTGCAATAGTTTTCTACTATATTAATGGAAAATCGTAAAACAAATAATTCTTTGATCTAAAAAATATTCTTTTAACAGTTGTTTTCGCAGGAAACAGAAATGTGATTAATTTCACAACACTACACACTCACTTTAATGTTCGCAAAGAGAAGTGATAATTGAGACTGGGTAATTTTAGGTCATGTTTAGAGGGGAAAAGTAGTTTAGGAGCGTGAAAGTGTGAAGGGTACGCGTATAATATATAGCAGATACACACTTCTCAAAAATTAATGATGTTGGAAACGTAAATATCGTTACATTTTAAAAGTTATGAATTGGGATATGTTGTAGCAATAGCAGTTAGAAATTATTGCAAAGGGCCTATCATACCGATAACATCGGTTCATTTATTCTGTTATATATAGTGGCATAGCAATGTACGTAAATAGAAATCAGAGATGTTCATTATGTTACACTGGAAGGTTATTTTTATTTTATTTTAAAGGCTTAAGACGATATGGTTTTGTTATGGACTTCGGAAGCTCTTATGGGTAGTAAAGAGATGGCTTATCAAGATTTAGGCGTAGAAGGTGGATATTGAAGGGGAAGTGTTTTCGTGTTTTACTCATGATAATGGTGAAATAAATATTGTAAGGATGTAAAGATTATAAATTTAAATAGCAACATTTGATTGGAATTTCGGATCATTATAGGGGGGGGGGGAGAAAAAGGTGTGTTTGGGGGGGGGGGCTGCTTTATGTAGAGTAATTATGTTTACATCATAAAACATTAAGTCATGCGGAATAACAAAGTGGTATTTAAATTGTTTGGTAAAACTCTATTATTTAGATTGCTGTATTTTTACTTCTATATTACATTTATATGCTGGATAACGACTTTGCTTTATGTAGAGTAATTATGTTTACATCATAAAACATTAAGTCATGCGGAATAACAAAGTGGTATTTAAATTGTTTGGTAACACTCTTTGCATAACTTTACGTTTTTTTAACATTGAATTTTTGTAGTATCAATTTACTTTAAGTAAAATAAATAGCTTTCACGAGGGACAAATGAAAAGACAAAAGAGTCGGTGAGTCGATATGTTTGAGGTACAAGTATTTGATCAAGTAGTCGAGGGTAAACAATGACGATATTAGTTTATGTAGGTAGAGGTGAATGGAGAGTGGAGTAGGGGTTTGAGATAGAAATGAAGGTCATGTAGGGATGGGGCTTAGAAAGGTTTCTTGTTTAAGAAAGTTTGCGGTAGAAATTGTGTTTGTGGTAAAGTAGTAGTCGTATTATAAGAGAGGTTGTATGTGAGGATTTGTAGTTGCAGTGGTTGCTGTGAAAGGAAGATTGATCGGCTCGTCAGGTTTTAAGACATTTGGGAAAGAGAAGATAATGTTCTTTTTCTTTTTTCTATATATTTATTGCCCACAATCATTTTTTTAACATTCTACCTCTTATGCATTTATAGAGGATTTGTAATGTTTCTGTTCGTGATGATGAAGAGGATATTTCACGGGTTAAACGGGCTACTCATAAAGGGTATCATGAGCTGCTGGTTGGAAGGCCTCAGGCAATAGACGCAATTATTTTAAGAGTATATTCCTTTTGGGAGCTGTTTCCAGTTTCTTATTAACTTTGGCAAGATTGAGCACTTCATGTACTGGCTTAGTACTGGAAAGAGCCGATTATGCCTCTCATGGCCTCGTCACTGTCTATGGGCAGAGGGACGATTTTCTCTTTAATGCTTGGAGAGCCTGGATTTTTGTCGTCGTTCCTCCAGTGACCAGACTAGTGTTTCAAGCATGCTGCCAACACTAGAGGTATTCCTTTACTGGTTCAGGACAAAGCGTGCTGCCCGTCACTTGACCGCCTGCAGCCTGTCAACGTTGCTCTTGGTAAATGGGTCCTAGACTGAAGATACGTAATCTAAAAGCGGCCGGACAAAGGCTATATGGGCCCTTTCTTTAACTTTAACACTGGAATTGCCGATCTTCAGATTTCTCATTAAAATTTCTAGTGTCTTGTTTGCCTGGTTGCACACATTGTTAATATGCTCATCCCAGCGTATCTCTTTTTCTATGGTAACAACCAGGTACCTTACGGATGAAACTGGTTCAAGAATATGGCCATACAGCGCGTTAGGATGGTGTAGAGGAATACAACTTTTACAGACTTATTGGTTTTTTATGGTTAAATAATAACATTTTGAAGTAAAATGCGGCAATTCATAGTTTATATATTTACAATTTTCTATATCAAAGATTTATTCTACCCCATGTACAAATTTTTTTAAAAAGGAACTTGAAATTTATGAACATTCTTCTTACCTTCAACTCGGTTGTAGAGTGTATAACTTTTCACTGTAACAATTGATTTAAAATGTAGTGTCCATGTCGGAGCAGGCTCGCCATTGTTATTAGTGTGCGTGCACGAATGATCATTCCATTTAGTTTTACCATCTACAGCACTGCTTGAGATGAAATAAGAAAAGTCGTTGCTTGTTGATGTTTGGTTTGTAGACTGTTTCAAAGCAACATTTCGACCTGGAGATAAATTGATTTAAAATCTTTTTAAGTTCTTACATTTTGAGTTGTCATGGTCTTAATATCAAAGATCGTTTTCCTTATTTACTTGATTTCTTTATTCAAATTGTTTAATTGACCTTCTGTTAATGCGTACTTTAAATATCTCTTGACAAAGTTTCCATTCTTTTCAAGACCACTATTTTGCACACATTTTTATCAAGGTATGTTAACACTTACAGCAAAGATATATAGTTGACAGCTTCACTCAACTGTTACTAAACAAAAAATAGATCCTTAAAAATTATTGCTTTGTCTTCAATACATTTTAAAAATTAAATTTAAAAAAGAAATTATGCAGAACATTTTATTTATACCTTACCATATCCTGTATACAAGAGTGGAAACGAATTTATAAATATATATGAGGCAATTAAAGTAACAATTTAATTTTAATTAATTTTGTTTGTTTTAATATTTAAATATCTTGATAACTTTTTTCTAAAAGTTTTTAATATTAGAAAAAAAATATATAAATATTCCATTATAAATATAAAAATGATGCAATAGTATGACATGTTACCTTTGCTGATGTAAAGTGAACATAATGTGTTCACCGACGATCCGTTCAAGACAATTCCTTGTATAGGTTTTGAAATGTTGCAATAAATGTCCATTGTTATTTTGTCAACAAAGACATTTATACATTGCTTATTTTGTATTGTGACGTCATCAGGAAAATTTATTGAAAAACTTTCCTTTTGTAATTCTAAACATTATGGACAGAAATTTCAATTTATTATAAATGATTTAAATTTTCTGTGAAAATATAAATGTTAACACTATGCTAAATAAAGGATCAAATAAATAATGTGCGACGCATTTAAAACTAAAAATTGATAAAAAAAATTGGAAAAAAATATAATTTAAGTACCAGCATTGCCAACTACAAGCCTCAACCACGTGAAGTATATGTTAGAAGGCCAGGTCAAATGAAGTGAGAAACTAGAACCTGTAAGAGTTGCACAGGTTGTATCAATTTCATCTGTAATCGCTGCAATATCTTGGGATATGCCGTCGGCAAGTGTAAGTTGTGCAGTTTTTGCTAAATCCGCTGAAATAAAGTATAACTGTTTAGAATGGTTGGCGTTTAAAACGTAACTTTTAATTTCTAAATATGAGGCAGTTTTCGTCAAGCTTGGTAAAATTTTGAAAATTTTGAAAGCAGTAATTTATATCACACACATGCGGATATACTATTGTTTCAATTTCTTGAATCACTTTATTTTTTCAAGAATTAATTTACGGCAATGATGTTCCGATTACGTCCTATAAAAAGAGGCAGGCACTCTTTGTAAGTAAATCGCGTTGTTGTGTGTCCTTCACCTTGAGAATTACCATGGCATTATTCCACAATAAGTACTCAGGCGGGCTTCCAATATGACAAAGTCTACGTTCGAAGGTGGCATTCAAAGATGACAAAGTCTATATTCATCAGTGAGTACGCAGGTGGCATACCAATATGACCAAGTCTAGACTCATCGACGAGTACGCAGGTGTCCTGCCAAGATGACCATGTATATTTTCCAAGTTGAGTATACAAGTGGCTTGCTAAGATGACAAAGTCTATACATCGGTAAGTCTGCAGGTGGGCTGCCAAGATGACAAAGTCTATATTTAAAAGTGTTACGCAGGTGGCTTGCCAAGATGACCAATTCTATATTCAAAGATGAGTACGCAGCTAACCATCCAAAATGACAAGGCTATATTGTAACGTAAGTACGCAGGTGACCTACCAAGATGATCAAGTCTATACTCATCCGAGAGTACGCAGGTGGCCAGCCAAAATGACCAAGTATATCTTTCAAAATGAGTGCACAAATGGCCTGCCAGTCCGATTTGGGCCTGAAAAGCTTTCCCGCACGTGGGATACATGTTATGTTGTGTCCTAGTAAGATTTGGGTTTCATTTGTTTTTGTACTTTTTCGTTGGTTGTGAGCGTTGCACTTATGCTCTGATGATTTGCTCCGACAGTGAGTCTGCCACTCCAGCTTGCATGGTCCATGTCAAGTGACTAACACGAATCAACATCGATGTCCATGGATTTAGGTTAAGCTATTAGACAGTCCTTCACGTGTTTTTTTTATGCCCACCAAATGAGCTCATTCTTCTGAAGAATTCACTGGGAAGTTCGTTTGGGAAGTCCGCCATTCGGCAAACTTGTAACATGCCCTGTCCATCATGCTTGTCCTTTTTGCCGAAGCATGTGTATGCTGATAAATCTTCCGATTGTTTGATCTCTGTACCAGGAAATTATTCATGTCACCTTATTCCAAGAAATTTACGTAGATGGTGTAGCTGTCTAGCATGTCCGAAGTGCACTATCCATGCCTCGCTCGTATATATTATAGATGTTTAAACGATTGCCCTATACTCTTTTAGCTTAGTGACATGTGACAAGACTGAAACCCCTTCGCTCCAACATACTCATGGTTATCCTTTCAAATGCAACATTTTGTTTTGAAATTCGGTTATTGATCTCATAATCTATTGCTGAGGACATGAAAAATACGTACAATTTTCTAATGCATGGAGATTCACTGATATTTCAATTTCTTAAACCATTCCTTGAGCTGGCTGGTGCAAAATCTCTTTTTTTTTTGGTATTGTTGGCAAGGCCGTAACTGTCGCAGGACATTGCAATGCGATCAATTATTTGCTGCATTTTCAGTTTAAAACGTGCATTTAGCACACAACCATCAGAAAACAGCAGGTCTTGAATAACCTTTTCTTTAATTTCCGTAATAGCCTGTTGTCTCCCAAGATTAAATAATCCGTCTGACTTGTATCTTATAGGAAAACCGTCGTTATTGTCAAGGAAAGCATCAGTCATCATTGCTTGGAATACAGTGTTAAAAGGTGATGGGGCCAGAATACAGCCTTGTTGTACGCCATAATTTACAGTAAGGCCACAGGCGTAACTTAATGAGATTTAACAGTGCATTAAATGACATATACGTATAAGAGAAGAAAAGACCTTTATTAAAAACGTAAGGTTATAAATTTGTGGATCGTAACACACTGATTAACTTTAAATGAGTAACATTACATTCTACTAACTTTGCTAAATCATTGCATAATGAAGTATTTTTTCAAGTAGGTAAAACGCATTTTAGGTCTACGAAAAAATATATTTAATTTTGTTATTACTGATATTGATATGTAAGAAAGCTTCTAGTTAATTATTTTCCTCAAGCACATTATTTTCTCTTTTTATGCAATTTACATGTTCAGTTCCAGTTATTCATAATTGTAATTAGTAAAACTGTGTTACATTTTTTTTGAAAAACTGGAACATTTAATTATATTATATATAGATAATTAAAGTAAACTTTTTATTCTATATATTAAGGGCCGGCGATCAATTTATTGTTCATTTTGGCTCCGATGAATGTAGATGGGATTTATATTATTTATGTGCCTGATGTTGATGAGGATATTTCACAGGTTACAAGGGCTACTTTGTGAGTGTATCATGCGCTGGTGTTTAAAATGTTAAGGTAATATATGCAAATGTGTCTAGTGTTGTCACCTCAACTGTTTCTTTTGAAAGCTTGTTCCAGTCCCTGATTGTCTTGGTCAGGAATGAGCAGTTCCTGTACGGGCTTCTTGCTGGAATCAGCCTGCAATGCCTGTCATGGCCTCGTCGCTGTCTATGGGGGAGAGGGGCACGTTTCTATTTAATACTGGTTATTTATCTTGTACATCATAGAGATCCTGCATACGTCTTGTCGTTCCTTCGACGATGACTACCTCAGTGTTTCTAGCATGATGTCAACACTAGAGGTATTCCTGTAGCGGTTCAGAACTAAGCATGCTGCCCATTGCTGGAAACCTCCAACCTGTCAATACTCTTCTGGGTAAATGGGTCCCAGACTGAAGATGCCTAATCTAAAAAGGGACGGATAATGGCTTTTTGGCTCTTTCTTTCACACTAGAGTTATCGATATTTAGATTACGCCTTAAGAACCCCAGTGTTTAGGTTGCCTTGTTGCACACATTGTTAATATGCTCGTCCTAGCGGACCTCTCTTTGAATAGTAAAACCAAGGTGAAAACCGGATCAAGATCTTTGTTAACGTTAGAAGTATCAAAGACGATGATGTCTGCAGTCGTGCTATCACGCATGGACTGCTGCAATGCTCTTATGGTGGGTCTTTTAGCTACGCTCCTACATTAAATTAAAAAAGCACAGAATAATGCGGCTCGCATTGTTCTTCGTAAACGCAAATTTGACCATGATAAAGCACTTCTGAGAGAGTTACAACTGCTGCCTGTCCGCGCTCGCATAAAGTACTAAATTGCAACTATGTGCTACCGCTGCTTGCATTACCTGGCACCGTCATATCTCAGAGAACTACTGATGCCTTATGTATCCACTAGACAACTCCGCTCATCTGATAGGGGCACACTCCCGATACCACGTGTTTGTCTTGAGACTAACGAGGGCCGTACTTTTGCATGTGCTGGCCCAATAATTTGGAACACCCTTCCTGTCGCTCTTAGAAACAGCCAGTCACATGAGTCTTTAAAAACTGATTTTAAGGCAGATCTATTTCGCAAACAACTGCTGGGATGATGTTGTCTAGCTATTATCTTGTGGATGTGTATTGCCCTGTGTTGTTTATGGTTGTTAGGTTTGAAAGACATAGAGTGTGTATTCTCGTAAATAGTTTTTGCAATGTTGCATTTTATATTTCAATGTGGTATATTATAGATTATTTAATTTCCCGTTTAATATACTAGACTGTGTACCATGCTTCGAGGCTTTGGGGATGAATGATGAAGCGTGTTTTTCAAAGCAACTTTCCGAACAAAGAAAAGCAAAATACAGATCAAAATAATACAGTATTGCGCACCCACCTATGATAGCAAAGAAGAAGAAAAAGAAACATTCTACAATAGATTACAAGCAATATTACAAAAACTCTTAAATAAAGACCTAAACATCTTAAATGAATTGAAAATCGATTATGAATGCCACAAACACTTGTTAAACATGCTTTAATAACCTTTCAAATTCAAATTAAATCAAATTGTCAAAAGATATGTAAATATTTTTTCAACAATATAGGCATAATGTGTGGCTTTGAAGTGTGTGGCCTTAGAAGCGTCAGCACTTGGGAAACTGTACTATGTGTCAATGCCTTAAGATGACACTTTATTAGGTGTTATAGGATTAATCTTCTAGAGAACAAAAACAAGATAACAAGAAGGTAAAATAAACACAATAACTTACCTGACTATGTCTAGAGTTTGAGATCAAATTCATGAAATGTAAATGAAAAAAAAAAAGTGTACGGAATTAAATATAATAAAACAAGAAGAGACATATTCATAATATTTCTATTGAATGCTCAGACGCCAGAGCAATTAAAAAGCTAACACAAATGAAGCTAAATATTGCATGAACAAAATTGATAACAGAATGAAACATCTTGACACCTGTTTAAACGTGTGATGTATGCCTCAGCGATTAAATGTACATTGTGCAAACATGATATCCATCATCATTATTTGAACCGTGTACAACACACTAAACAATAAATTAGTTTAAACGAGCAATAAGTTACCAATCGATTTCGCCGGATGTACAAACATACTCACCCTGGAGTAAAACTAAATATATACCAAATTCATAATACAAAAAAAGAGGGTGTGGTTAAGCTCAAATTGGTTAATTGAAATTCCACAAAGTGATAGATAAGAATAAGATATGACCTTTTGCAAATAACAAAAAATTGCACGACTTCAATTGTTTTGACCCCATGAAAAGATTTCCAGAAGTCATAATTACTAGGTCTGGATGAAAAGACAATGCTGATACGATATCTTAACGCTACCACCCTAGAAAAGTATGAAGAGTGCTAGGCAGCAGATCATGTTTATAAGTCTACAGCGGTAGTTCTAAAGTTTTCTAATACCACGACCCTTCAATACAATTGCTCATTTTGTGGTGACACCCAAACATACATTTATTTTCGTTTCTGTTTCATAAATATGTGTTTACTTATGGTCTTAGGCGACCCCTGGTCTACAAGGATAGCCCACACAGTTAATACCATGAGTGAAACTTGTAGTAGTTTTAAAGTATGATTGTTCTTTCTTCATTCTGGCCATGTTTTTAATTTCAGACTGAATTTTTTAAAAACTCTTTACCATTATTAATTGAAAAAAATAATTAGAAAAAATGCTACGTCAAGCACATTATCGTTCTTAAATTTTATTTCAATTTCATCTCATTAATTACAAGACTGACGCAATTGACCAATCCACTAGATTACACAAAAGCTGCCTCATCATATTACAGCAAGGTATTTTAAGGCAGAACTTCTTAAAGGTAGTATTGAAAAAGCAGACAACAGCTTAAGAAGTAGTTCAACTTTGACTCAACGCATGAAAATATATCTACTTTAAAAATATAATTAAGATATAAAAATGGGATTGGTCTCAAGTTCCAGCACATACAAATTAATTTCGAAAATAAAATTAAAATACAATTTAAAGAATGGCTTCCATATAGACTTTTTAGTCTCATCTCTGTCGGTATATGGTTTCTAAAATGTAAGCAAATGAAATTCACTTAACCGCTTTAACTACAATACGTTACACGAGGGGTTCCAGAATCAAATGATAAGAGATAATAAATGAATTGAAATAAATGCGTCGGGTTTAAAAGCTGGTATATATAGTATTGCATATAGGCCCAGGTACAATGACAGGAGAAAATTATTAAAAAATATTAGTGCTGTAAATCTTATGGTATAAGGATAATAGAAGTGACATAATTACAACATGGTTTCTCTAATTCTATCATGAAAAGTTTAAATTTGTTTTCAAGTATTTTTTTTTTTAAATTGTGACTTTTGTTTGCTGTTTACATTTGTGAAAGGTAAGTTACACTTTTTTTTTAAAAATCTTAAAATTACTTTTATTCTTAAGTTATTTTTAATAAGTAGCCAGGAGTTTATTAGATGGAAGCATTATTTATAAAATGTACTATTGTGTAAATACCTTCTGAATTATTGAAAGAAGCAGTCAGTTATGGTGGAAAGATTAGAAAAAATTGAGAACTGTGTAGAGTTTGAGTGTTAACGGGACACGGACAAACTGAAGTTAAAACGAATTGGTGGGTTAAGGAAGAAATGAGGTTTAGGTAATGTTGGGATATGTGTTGATTTATTATCAGAAAATATTCTTTTATTGATCCAAACAAATGGAAATATTTTTATTACATTGCGCATATATTTCCAGCACATAAATAAAATTATATTTTAATAAATCTGACATTTTCCAACTAAAACAATTCAAACACCAGACATCTACATTAAATTCTTTCTCTAGCGTAAAAAAAAACAGCCATTCATTGAACTCTTCTTCTTCATAACAGAAACTTAAATTAGTTCTTATTTAGATTGTGTGATTTCTGGGAAGCACGCAGATATATTCGTAAATATTTGGGGAAAATTTTTTTTTTTACAACGTTATGAGTTATAATTATACATTAAAAATCAGAATACAATGTTCTAGAAACGGATAATATGTTAATATTACAAAGGAAGGTCAGTGTGAGTGTCTGGGGAGTTAGTTCGGGGCAAATTGTAGTACTTTTGACATTGTTGAGCAGGGAAAACGTCCAAAATTGAAGTTTCAAATGTTTTGGGGCGATTTCTAATTAATAATAACCTACCATACTGACAAGCTGGACCAAACCATCCAATAGCACATCCATTAGGGCAGTCACCATTGGTAACATCACAAGCTGCATCATTCTTACAGTGACATTTGTACTGGCAGTTAGCATCAAACCAGTTGTTAAAATGGTCTGTTGTATCACATGCTGTTATGGACAAATGTTGCAATTAAATTATTTATCTAATAGTTTATGCATAAGTAATTCACTGAAAAAATGTGCATTATAATCTTTGCATCTTAAACGTCTAAGATTTAAAAAAAAAATTTTTAAATTTTAAAAAATATATATAATTAATTGACTCCCAAATAAAAGCAGAGAACCTACATTTCACTGCATGAAATTAATGATTATTGCATTTAAAATAATGCTTTTTGAAACCAGTTGACATTCATTTAACTAAAAGGTCATCAAAATTACACTTTTTTGTTTTTTGTAAACTGTACAATTATTTTCTCATGTATGTTCTCTTCTTAATGAAATCAGTTTTGTTGCTAAATTCAACTTACATTGTGCTGAATTGTATATAACGGACTGTACCACAATTAATACAGACCATGACACTATTAATGTCATGATTTTTTATCACCGTATATCTGAAATTGTAAACTGAAAAAAATGAAAGAAGTAAACTTTATTTAGGCCAACCTCTAAATATTTCAAAAAGAAATTGTACTTTGGGAAAATGAAACTGTCTTTGAAACGGTAAAATAATTTAATTATACAATTTCACCGTTTCCTAAATTTAAGAATAAATGTTTTAAAAATAAAATCCATTTAGAATGAATTTTTTTTTAAAGTTGAATTTGTTTAAAATAAAATCTGTTCAAAATAAAGTATGCTTAAAATGAAATTTAACAGAACAGTTTGTCTCATTAAGAATAGTCATGTGTAGATTATCATTGTTAACTTTTACAAATCAGTTAGTTAGTATAATGATCTGTGAGCAAAGTTTTAATGCCTATAAGATCAATAAAATATGAGATCGGCCAGTTGAGAATACATTCATACATTTATTTGTATTGTTCTACAATTTTGTTTTCCCTGGTATCTGAATTGTTGTTCAGATGTTAATTTCGTAATTTTAATCGCTGCTGACTTCAGTTAAAATGTACTTACATGTCAAGTTAAAATAAGATTTATTTTAACTCTGAAATGCTTCAGAGCTACACTGATCACAACTCCTTTATTTGCATTAGAATCCAAGTTTAACACCGACAGTGTCACATTCTTAATTCACTTCCTTGTCTCGAGATAACGTATTTTCAGTTAACTTATACATGGTTTAATAGCTAATAGCATGGAAACCAATTTAATGAAAATGCAAAGAATGGAAGCATGTACAGATGTGTTTGTTTTTTTTTTTAAAAAGAAAGCTCAGAAAACAAATGCTCTCACGATAAATGCGTTCACTACCTTAATTTATAATTTGAAAATTCAATTAATCAATACATAGAGTTCACATTTGAGAAAAAATCTAAGGTAATGTATATATCCCTTGCGGAAGTGACAAGGAAAAAAAAAATAAAACAATTAAATAGTTTAATTACTGGCATATGAAAGACTGGACTGAGTATACGGTTTACGCTGGAGGACATGTTTTCCTTTATATTTAGAAATTTTGGCTGACTGGACATATTTTTCGTGATGATTTTTAAATATTTTTGCTTTATTTTTGTGGGGGGTGGGGTTGCGAAAATCTAATCCTAGCTACGACTACGACGAAAATAGAGTAGTCAAATTTTCAAGAGCGTTACAACTCTATAAAAGTATGTAATTCTAAGAATAACTCTACTTTATTTCGAAAATCCTTTGTTTGCTATGCCCGCGGCGGGCCTAGACATTGACTCAAAAGGTCCCACACACAACACACAATCATATAAGTAAACTAATCAATATTATTCCACACTTAAACGTTTTCCACCGAAGCAATCTGTCCATGCACCCCGTTCTTCTTACAGAAGTGATTATTTAAGAATTCATTGTAAGTCCTATCAGTAGGCATTGGTGTAGCCTTTAATATCATTTATCAACAACAGATAAGAAATGAATTGGACAGATAATATCTCTACGTTTCACTCTTTCTTTACGCCACTAACACATAAAGAAAGCATACACTTACACACAATTTATTCTTTATATCGCCCAAAATCATACCATCAAATTAATTAATTGCAATCTTACAAACTATAAGTGTACTTTAAAAAATATATGCTTATATAAATAACTGGCATACCTTCAGCTCGCTATACTCCTGTATGGGACAAACTTATGGAAAACATTTGCAAGACATGTCTTCAATACACAGTATCTGAGAAATGCTTTAGATTAAAGTTATACTGAAACCTACAAAACCCGACCTCCATACCCGTTCAAGTTGTAAACATTCTAAAAATATAACTCTGGTGAAATAAATAAACGTTGTGTGGGTGGCCCTATAAGATTGATAACGAATTTATTACATAATAACATATGCAGAATCGTGTACAAGGAAGTAAGCGTTTATGTTAAAAATATTATATACACAATATTAGTATATGTAATGTTGTATTCTTAGTAAATTGGAAATTGTGTCCCTTCCATGTTTCCAATTCTCCAATAAAGATATAGAAAAATATTTAAAATACAATGTGATACGAATGTGTAATTAAAAGATGATTAATATAAAAGATGATATACATCATTTTAATTTATATGACGTAAAAAGCTCTATCTCATATAGAGGGTGGGCCACATAAAACAGCTACATCTGCATATAATGGTGTGCAGATTTGAAAGGAGGCTTTGAAACGAAAAGGACCCCCCCCCCCTCGCCTCCGATACATGTCCGCGGACAACCACCTTGGAAATCAAAGCCGTAGATGACACAGAAAAACAGCTACATCTGCATATAATGGGGTGCAGATTTGAAAGGAGGCTTTGAAACGAAAGGACCCCCCCCCCCCTCGCCTCCGATACATGTCCGCGGACAACCACCTTGGAAATCAAAGCCGTAGATGACACAGCTCAGTGTCAATATTGTGAAGTAGAAAATGTATGTGATGTCTGCTTTTGCAAATTATTTCAAAATCTTAAAAACACATTAATAAGTACGAATATTAGCTACTCAGTCCCTATTATATACCTAGGCATTTGAAGCTACTTAGTGTTTTATGACGGAATATTATTATTTGTAGATTTTAAAAATAAAAAAAAAATACATAACGATAAAACCGATTATTCAACATAGACCCAAATGCGGCTCGGGAGCATTTATTATAGGATTATTTTCATTTCACTAAGTAACGTAGACCATGTATCTTTCATTTCATTATAAAATTTTTTAAAAGTTGGCCATCACTCGGTATTAATTTCCCTTTGGTTTCATTCGTTTCAGTGCATATTATGTTGTTTTTTTTTTGTTTTTTTTAATTCTTTGCTAGAAAGAAATCACACGGACCACCCGATTAATTGTGAAAAGGATACGAGTTGGCGATAATATACAAGAGATTAAGTAGTTAGATGGTACATGGCTTAGATTGAAATGTGTAAGGGTCGTCAAATGTTTGAAAAATGTAATATATAATTATTTTTTTTTTTTGCTGGCATCCGTCCGTCCCAATGTAAGATGAAATCCACATAGCCTGGGATTATTATACTTGAAGGATTATAAGCTGGTTCCCAACAGCAAATCGCCTCTCTCCACGCCGCTGGGTAACCCAAGGGAACATCATTGGATGATACAGCTTGGCACCAGTGACTTTCGGGACTCCATCTCCGGGTTTGATTTCAGAGTTTCCTTCTCTTAGATGAGTTGCCGTCCAAGGTTAACGAGTCCCATCTACCCGGGGTGCTGGTGGTGTTTTTGCTCTAGCTGGAATTGAACTTGAGATTTGCTCAGTTTAGACCACTCGGCCACCCAGCACCCATATATATAATAATAACAATAATATGTATAAATGGTATTTTTCCGTCTTCACAAGACGATGGAGTAGCTTTGTACACTTGTCGGCGTGTCGGAGGTAAAAAAAATACAGCCGCGTTATGCGACTTTATCTGGAGCCCATCTGTTATGGACTGGAGAAGACGGAGCACCTGGCCTACAGGCTGGTCCCTTGACTTTCACTGCATCCATAGTATTTTACATTAAATACTGTTATCATGGCGTCTTTATGAACAAACATATCTCATATTACACATACACTAGTTCAGTGAGTAGTACAACAGTAATGTTTCGTGTTTGCTGCTGTTGAGCGTCGTTCAAATATGCCACAAACTAGAATAAGAGAAACTTTGATACGTATCTGTAAGCTGTGTTGGTCAACTGACACTAACATTTAAATAGCTGCTTTTCAAATTCGTCATTCAATATTGTAGTATGTGCTTCATTATTTGCATTTCTGTCTTTTTAAAGATTTTACATACATCTTTATGACAAGTATTTATCTGTATTGGTACCATCATACCAAATCATTTCTCTCGTCCGTCATTATTTTATTATATTCACTGATGTATGCGTAAAGTATAGAAATATTACTACCCCTTCAGATGGCTGTCTTTTATTTGATTGCACTATGTGTTTTCTTTGAACTTCAACATGTTCATACATTGAGCAATTATCTCGGGTCTCTTAATGACTGAGATGGTCTATATTTCTATTTTTCTATGGATTTACTGCTAAACCATGAACAAATACTTAATATATATTTAATATTGTTAATATTCTTTAGTTTTCCGTGATAAGCAAAGATTTGACTGGGAGCAGTAGCCAGACTCATTAAATAAATGTAGGTTCAAACGTTTTTTTATGCATTTATCCACTTTGACTTGTTTTGTTTTAAGATAGCTGTTAGCTCAAACTCTTGGCTGTATCGTCTATTTTCTTCTTGTCTGACTTCATCCTGGCTTTGAGCGTAACGAAATCATTCCTATGGAATGTTATTTTCATGTGTGTGTAACTCTCATGGATAACGTCACTGTCAGACAAACATACACAATATTTCAATCTCAAAGTCACGCTTGATAATGCTTCTCATTTTTATGATGCGGGGGTCTTGCATAGTAAATCAGATTTAACAAAGTTAAATAAAGATAAGCCATTTATTTCATGTTTGAAATACAAAATGAATATGTTTAATATAGCGATGATCTAAAATATTATCACAATGTATTATTGTAAACATAATATATTCAATTTGAATTTTTTGTTTGCGTTTAATCACGCAAGTAGATAGTGTTACAAGCTCTCAATTATTTTTTTGCAAGTAAAAGGCATTCTCCCTTTTATTTCTTTAACCCTTCAGAAAGAAATGCCTTGGTTGTGAAAATAAATTTCCTTGGGGCTTATTTTTAGGAGGCAATTAAATTCGGCTATCCCCCCCCCCATAACTGCCTAAAGCTGTACTATTTATTTTATTTTTTAAGATCCGAGTTTAAAGATGCGCCCAGCGGATAGGGGTTGTTGCTTTAACCGGATTGTCACATATTGAGGACCAGGAATCACTAAGACTGGACAGAATGGACAAGTTCTCTAGACAACCCTCCTGGCTTTTTCGAACACATATTTCTGACTAATAAACATATTCATTATTTATTTCCGTGTTATTCAAGTAATACGATGCTGGTTTGTTCGCATACTTTTTTTTCAATGCTGTTTCCTTGACTTGCACTTGGTCTGCTCTTACGTTTAAGAAAAAAAAAAAACAAGTCTGTTGATCGCTAAAAGCCTGGTCAAGAATATCCAGATTGATTTTATTTAATGTGAGCTTAAGTATAGGTGGGAAATTGGGCTGTTTCCCACGTGGAACAGTGCCCTGACGAAGTGGATAGGAGTAGAAATGTTCAATGAAGCGCCCAGATGGTTTAAATTTTCGGGGTAAATATAAATAGTGAATCGGAATTAAACTTAAATATTATTATAGAAAGTAGTTTTATTTACTTCGTGTATCATAACATGTTTAATTTCAAAAACATTAGGACATACCAAATATTTCTTTTTTTAAGACTAATTCACGACATAAATGGCAATTTAAATATTAAAAGTCATATTCTGGCTAAGCAACAAAAACAAAAAGGAATTATGAGTTGATTTGAAAAGTGTACCAAGCACTAGTAGAGTTTTATTTCATGATCAAGAATTTTACGTTGGAAATTTTGTATGCAGGTTTGGAAACAAAATGAATTTTAAAACAATTATAATATATCAACTTGTATTAATGTAAACATTCATTTTTGCCCCTGAAATCACTTTAAATAGATTAAAAATATGACGTTAAACCATTTAGAAAATAATGATTTTTTTAATCCATGAAAGACAATATATAAAATGGTCCTCCTAAAATGAAAATGTTTCGCAGAAACTAGTTTAAATTTGAGAAGTGGTTGACCAATAAGCATCTCAATAAAATGGTGTCATTCTAAAACATATTTTTGGATAGGTAACATATAGTTAAAGCAATATTGTTTGCACATATTACGATACTATGGTAATTCCAAAGACATTTATATCAAGAGATTACACTGCTACCACCAGTATTTGTATGGCTTTCTCTGTCCACTTCTGTTACTACCGAGTTACTGTTCTTGTTAAACGACACGAAATCTTGAATTAAATCATAACCATCTCCTGAAATAAAAACAAATAAACAAAATTCTTTTATGATTGATATAGTATTTGGATATATATGTATATATATATATATATATATATATATATATATATATATATATATATATATATATATTTATATATTTTATAATTTACAACCCCACACAAAATATCTTCAATTATAATATATATATATATATATATATATATATATATATATATATATATATATATATATATATATATACATATATTTATATCTTTTATAATTTACAACCCCACACAAAATATCTTCAATTATAAATGCTTTTGTCTTAGCCCCAAATTAGTGGTTCTGTAACTAATTTACGTG